GTGGTGTTTAAACTGTGTTTAGTTTTTTCTGGAAATCCTCTATACAGAACAGCTGCAGAGTTTGACATTGTAGTAAATGTAGGACAGTAACTCCTAGCAGTTAACTGGCTGCAGACTGTCCTTATTCTGTTAGTTGGTTTCCTGCAGTTACGGAAAGTTACTGATTGGAAATTTACTCCTTGGGAACACGGCCCCCTGTGCTGGTAGATAGGGCTGGGGAACAGAATAGGCCCTTCATGGACCTGCTGCAAAAGCTGGATGCTTACAAGTCCATGGGACCAGATAGATTGCACCCTAGAGTGCTGAGGGAGTTGGCAGATATGATGGCCAAGCCACTGTCCATCATTTTTCGGCAGTCCTGGCTAACCGGGGATGTCCCGGTGGGTGGGAAACTGGCAGGTGTAATGCCTGTCTTCAAAAAGGGCCGGAAAGATGATCCTGGTAGCTACAGGCCTATCAGTCTCACTTTGGTGCCCGGGAAGGTCATGGAACAAATAATCTCGGGAACAATCATGGACCAATTAAAGGTCAACCAGGGGATCTGGCCCAGTCAGCATGGGTTTACGAATGGTAGATCCTGTCTGACAAACCTGATTTCATTCTATGACAAGGTGACCCGCTTAGTGGATGAGGGTCAGGCTATCGATGTGGTCTACCTGGTCTTCAGTAAGGCCTTTGACACTGTCCCCCATAACATTCTTGTGGAGAAGCTGGCTGCCCATGGTCTGGATGGGTGTACGCTCTGCTGGGTGAAGCACTGGCTGGATGGCTGGGCAGTTGAATCTAGTTGGTGGCCGGTCACGAGCAGTGTCCCCCAAGGCTCAGTACTGGGGCCGCTTCTGTTTAACATCTTCATTGATGATCTTGATGAGGGGATTGAGTGCACCCTCAGTAAGTTTGCAGATGACACCGAGCTGGGAGGGAGTGTTGATCCCTCAGAGGGGAGAAGGGCATTGCAGAGGGACCTGGACAGACTGGATCGATGGGCCAAGGTTAACGCCATGAGTTTCAATAGGGCCAAGTGTCAGGTCCTGCATTTTGGTCACAACAACCCCAGGCAACCCTACAGGCTTGGGGAGGTGTGGCTGGAAAGCTGCCTGATGGAAAAGGACCTTGGTGTTCTGATGGACAGTCGGCTGAACATGAGCCAGCAGTGTATCCTGGTGGCCAAGAAGGCCAATGGCATCCTGGCTTGTATCAGGAATGGTGTGGTGAGCAGGGCTAGGGAAGGCATCCTGCCCCTGTACTCGGCATTGGTGAGGCCTCACCTTGAGTACTGTGTTCAGCTTTGGGCACCTCAGTACAGAAAGGATGTGGAGGTGCTGAAGCAGGTCTAGAGAAGGGCAATGAGGCTAGTGAAGGGCTTGGAAAATCAGCCCTGTTAGGAGAGGCTGAGGGAGCTGGGGCTGTTTAGTCTGGGGAAGAGGCGGCTGTGGGGAGACCTTATTACTCTCTTCCAGTACCTGAAAGGTGCTTACAGTGAGAGCGAGGTAGGTCTCTTCTCACTGGTGACAGGTGACAAGATGAGAGGAAATGGCCTCAAGTTGCACCAAGGTAAGTTTAGGTTGGACGTTAGGAAACACTTTACAGAAAGGATGGTTAAACATTGAAATAGGCTCCCCAGGGAGGTGGTTGAGTCACCGTCCCTGGATGTGTTTAAGAGCTGTTTGGATGTGGTGCTCGGGTATATGATTTAGCAGAGGGTTGTTAGAGTTAGGGTACTATGGTTAGGCTGCGGTTGGACTTGATGATCCTTGAGGTCCCTTCCAACCTGAGTAATTCTATGATTCATGATTTACCATGATAAGAGGGAAGCAATGAAACTAGTAGCATGGGGGTCCAGAGTGCTGACAAACAGAATTGATAGTTCTATTACTATTAATGTTTTTGAGGGTTTCTTGGTTCAAGACTGCATGTAATAGTTATTGGAACTGCTTTGCAAGATAATCAGGTTATAACTATTAATTATAGAATATATATATAGAGAGAGAGAATATGTTATATAGAATATATTTCATGCAAGTGTTTCATGGTGTCATTAAGGATGGAAACTGATCTTCTAGTCCAACCATCAACCCTTCACCACCATATCCACTAAATGATGTCACTCAGTACCAGATCTACACATTTCTTGAACACCTCCAGGGGATGGTGACTCCACCACCTCCCTGGGCAGAGTGTTCCACTGCCTCACCACACTTTCTGAGAACAATTTTTTCCTAATATCCAACCTCAATCTTCCTTGGTGCAACTTGAGGCCATTCTCTCTAGTTCTATTGCTAGTTACATGGGAGAAGAGTCTGACCCCACCTCAATAGAAGCCTCTGTCAGGAAGTTGTAGAGAGCAGTATGGTCTTCCCTGAGCCTCTTTTCTAGTCAGAGCATTCCCAGCTCGCTCAGCTGCTCATCGTAAGGCCTGTGCTCCAGACTCCTCACCAGCTCCATCACCCTTCTCTGGACATGGTCCAGGACCTTGATGTCTTTTGTGTAGTGAGGGTCCCAAAAGTGAACATAGTATTTTAGGTGTGGCTTCACCAGTGCTGAGTACAGAGGGAAAGTTGCCTGTATGGTTTTACTGATTATACCATTTCTGTTACAAGGCAGGATGACATTGGTCTTCTTGGCTACCTGGATACACTGCTGGCTCATGTTCAACTGGCTAAATGTTTATCAAAAAAATAATATAAAAATAAAAATGTAACATTTTAATTTAGCATTTTGATTCTGGACACTTTTTTTTTTTGATGCATGAGTGTCTTTTTAACAGCAAACATTGCAGAAAGACTATGAAGGTACATCTGGTCAGCTTATCAGACAGGATTTTTTCTTCATCCAGCTTTTTGTATAATTTAGCACTGGATTGATGATAAAGAATGGGATGCCCTGTGCTAAAAAGTAGTGAGAAATCATGATTTAGCATTAAGGAGAGAATTTATTTTTGCGTTCTCTTTACTTGCATTGTAAACGTTTGTGAGACTGGATTTTGATCCCTCAGACATGTTCCATGGTGATGAGTGGTCTGGGTTTCTACCTAATAAGAAGGTTAGGAGGGTAAGGGCTTTTTCTTTATCCTAACATTTAAAATAATTTGTTCAGTGTTATGCACAGTCCTTGTAATTCAAAAGCTCAAAGCAAATGCCAAGTGGCTGCAGTACTTTTTTTTTTTTTTTGGTAAGGCACTTAGTCTGTGTGAAACGTCTGTTTCCTTCTCCCTGCAGTTCATTTTGATGGTTAATATATTCTAATAACGTATGCTGCTGTTCAGTGAAGGTGTCTCAAATGCCTAAGTGAAAACTAATTGCAGTTTCTGCCATTCACCGTATTCTTTAAAATTTTTTTTTTTAATATTCGAGGTCTAGACTGGCAATAGCCTGTCTCAGTTACACCTGTGGTAGGGAACTGTGGCAGAAAGTACATGAAGATAAGGAGTCACTTAGCATTTGCCCATGCCAAAGGTGCTGAGACACTGTTAACTCTGTTCTTCTGCTGTCCATTTCAGTCCTCTATGTAATGAATAAGGAGAGTGTAGAGCTCAGAGGAGAAAAATGTATATAAAGATTGCTTATATTGTTTTGAGTTTCCCTTTTGCATTAATTCACACTTGGATTTTTGAGAGCCAAAACTTCTGGCTTGAGACACACTGCCTTTCAGAGCAGAGATAAATTTAATGTACCTCTGCAGTCCATTAAAAATCCAGATAGTGGTGAGTAACAGTAGTGAGTAACTGAGTGCATGCCATCCAAAATTTCAAGCCAACTTTCTGAAGTTTTGCCACTTCTATGGCTGAGTGCAGCACCCTCTGTTGTACAGAGCAGTTTCCACTGCAGTAACAGAAGTTGTTGCTAAATAATTTTTGGGCCCAGACTCCCTGAAAACATCTGAAAAGCACCTTTGTGAGCTGGGCTGATCTCTGGCTGAGCTAGCAGGTTGAGCTGAGGTTGAAGATGTTTTTGCAAGCGGAGGTTTTCTTTGAACTTATGTTCCTTTCTTTGGCTATCAGACTAACTGCTGTGCATTCGTTAAAGTTCCTTTAAAGCCTAATACTACTTGATGCAGCTGAGTGCTGTGAAGTATAGAGGCATTATTGTCAATTCCTGGAAAAATCTGGCACTTCATTTTGTCTCTGCTTCATCTCAGACTCTCAGTGTGAAACTGTAGGTCTGGTGAGATCAACAGAATGGTTGTTAGGAGTTCGTATCCCTGTCTTCCTGGTACCATCTATGCAGCTGAGATATTGTGGCCATGACCGTTACTGGTATTGACTTAATTTGCTTTTTTTGGCAGTGGTACAGATGAGAACTGCTTCCACAAGCATGTCTTAGTGACAGCTGTACAGTAGTATCTGTATATTTAAGTGTCAAATGCTGCCTACAAGGTGGTGTCACCAAAGCCACCAGTCCAACTTAATAAGACAGCTCTCACAGTAGAGGGCAAATAGTGAGTGCTTGTTGTTAGGATGCCTCTGATTCTGATGGAGAAATCCTCATGGCTTGAATTTCTTTTTATGAGAACACTGTTCCAAGGATGGAGCAACTCAGTTAATTTATTGTCCTGAAATGTGTTTCAAGAGGCTTCTTTGATAAGTGAGATTGCAAACTAGAAAACTGTGAAGGGAAAGAAATATCCTCAAGAGAGACCCAGTATTTTTGAGCAAACATAGCTATATATGCATGTGTATTTTAAGGTCAAAGTTTGAAGAGCTCTTTACTCAAAACCTGAATCTGATTTTCCTTATAGAAGTCGTGTGTTTATCTAAGGCATTGAGATGTAATTTCAGTTTATACCATGTTAGCACAACTAATCCTTTCAGTGATGTTCAGCTTTTGCCAATTCTGTCAATGGACTAATTGTGTGAAGTGAAGCATACAAGTGCAGCAGTGTTTTATGTACTACATCTTACCACTTCCTGACTCTGTCTCACTACCTTCTTGCAGTCCTCTAGCCAGATCTGTTGTACAGTTAGAAATGCCCAGCTTTGACAAGCTCTTTTTGCATTGCAGGAAGCCAACTTTTATAGCACATCCATAGGAAGCGGTTCCACTACAGCCTTTCACCATGTAGGAGAGAGACTGAAGATGTAGGCAGCTGGCAAATGTGAAAGCGATGAAGAGGTGTTGTGAGGCTGACAGTGCTTTTTATAGAGCGTGTGTTTTCTGGGAAGGACGTAAGAAGGGAGATAAACAAGTGATGACTGTGGCAAGCTGAGAAATAGCTGCGGCAGACCAAGATGTGCCAAAGAGAAGATCACTGCAAAAAGGTAAGGATGCCAACATCATCCTATCCTTTTTCCTCCTGCTTGAGAGTTTTCTTTGAAAACTGATGTTTTCTGGAGAATCTTGTAGATACTAAATAGCTGTTCAGTGTTACTTTGAGGAAAAACATGGTAGTATTTTTGTAACTCGCTCTAGCCCCCTCAATTCCTTCTCTCTTTTTCTAGCAGCTCTGCAGACTGTTAAAATATTGAAAATAGTTAAAAGATCAAGAATACCCCTGGATAATTCCTTCATAGAGAGTAATAGTCCAGCAAGACACTGATGTTGGGCAGGGGAAATCGATGTAGAAGTTGATCAAGTCTTATAGAAGACTTTTTGGCTCAAGATCAGAAATAACTCTGAAAAGCACATTGTCTCTTTGGTAAGTTGTTTTTACTTATGGGTCTGCCAGGAAGGATGTATGACTAACGAGACTACGAATCTTTTTCAAAAACCTGTGTCATAATGTCATGTATGCATCCAAAGGAAGACTGTCTGGAGGTTAATTTGTGTTCAGGTCTAACACTGCAGTGTTGCAGTGTGATTTAGAATGTTAGTCAGCCTTGGCCTAAGTCTGTCAACTAAAGAAATGATGAAATTCCTTTCATAAGTGTGGATTTGTGCCATGACTGAGGGATTTTTAAAATCCCAGTAGTAGTGTTGTCAGTCTAATTGTTTTAATGTGGTTTACAGCTAGGTCAGTGTTGTTGTTCAGTCATCTAATTTTTCTTTCCTGCTTTAACTATGCTGAAGGTAGTCTTAGTAACAGATAATTTTGAGTTTTAGCTTCCCTTATTTAAAAATGCATGTGCTGGTTTTCCCTTAAACCTTCTCAGTGGTCTTCATTTCTGGACATAGAGTGCATGTGTGGTAAACACAGTAGAGCCAGGCATTGTTGCAAGGCTTATTCCATGTTATGAGTAATGGAAGAGTACCTTAAAAGGTGAGGATAGTGTGCAGTAATGATAGCCTTCTAGGTGGTAACAAAGCTTCTTCTGATTTTTCAGTAAGACTTAATCTGAAAGCTCTTGGAAAACCCTGTCCCTACTTCTCTCTGTTTCATGGGAGCATCTGGTAGGTTATGTCAAACTAAATCTTGGTTTTAGCAATTGGCCTTCTAGTTTCTTGGTTCTCAAATTACACTCCAAATGAGGCTTCACATATTTGAACAGGAACACATTTGCAACCTGGTGTTTTGGAAAATATGTCCCTGGAAGCTGAAATGTGTTAACTATGGGACCAACTGCCTTCAAATTTGAGTGTTCCAGGATTTGAGAACTTGGAGGGCCAGCATTGCTCAGATAAGCTGAGCACATCAACATCTGGCTGGAAAGTAATAGTAACATAGAATGACTTCCTAGCAATTTTAAAGCATGACAGAAAACTACTTTCTGGTTGGCAATTGTCATAGTCATGTTGATGAAAGTTAAGCTTGTGCACACAGAATTGCCTGTGTAACAATCTTAGGACCTTGTTAGTCTTAGCACAAACACCTTATGATTCTGAGATCTACCAGAGTGGGTGATGACAGTAAGTTATTAGAAGCATCTGGACTGAATGACCAAATTTTAATGTGCCTGAATTAAACTGTTCTTGTTATTTGTCTTACAGGTCCTCGGCTTCCATCAGCCACCAGCCACATTGTAGCAGTGTAGATGTTGCCATGAGGATCAGGAGGTGTCCTGTCTGCTTTGCTGTTTATCTTTTGATCCTGCTGGGTAAACATCAGAGAGAGCCTAGTATGTGGGCAGAGTGCACATTTTAAGAGAGCTGTCAAGCCAGTTGCTGTACATACATGCCTCTGAATAGAAGTACTCCAAGTCCAGGGGACTCTGTGGCACTGCATGAGTGTAAGAACCATTCCATTTGTTGGGTTAGACTCTGCTTTTTGAGAGATGATGCTCCGACGAGGATTTCTTGTATTTGTCCCTCGACTTGTAGGCCTGCTGGTGGTGGCCTTTTGCTCTCTGTCCATCGTTTATATGTTGGCTTGCACACCCAAGGGTGATACTGAGCAGCTTGCCTTGCCCAGGGTGCACAGTCCGACTGCAAAGGAGGGATATGAAGCTATTCTGCAGGAACAAGAAGAGGAGCACCGCAACTACATCATCAGCTTGAAGAAACAAATTGCCCAGCTGAAGGCTGAGCTCCAGGGCAAGAGCGAGCAGCTTAAGAGCATGCAGGACCAGAACCCAAATCCCTTGGACATTCGTCTTGACCACAGTAACCCAGAGAAGGCCCAGGTTAATCTGCTGGCTTTCCTCCGTGCACAAATAGACAAAGCAGAGGTGCACAGTGGTGTTAAGCTGTCCACAGAGTATGCAGCTGTACCCTTTGAGAGCTTTACCCTGCAGAAGGTGTACCAGTTGGAGACAGGGCTGACACGCCACCCAGAAGAGAAACCTGTGAGGAAGGATAAGCGAGATGAGCTGGTAGAGGTGATCGAGTTAGCTGTTGGGAATTTGAACAGTCTGGAGGGAGACAGCAATACAAAAAAGCACCGTGTATACACAACTTCTGACTTCGTTGAAGGTTTGTATGCAGATAGCAGGTTCAAGTTCTCCTACAGAGCTGGTGAGCTGGTTCAGAAAGACTGCCTTACTGAGGGAGATGGGATAGTGTTGTAGCACAGATGTATGGGGCAAGGTTAGTGCTATGACCCAGTGGAGCTGTCTTGGATACAACTGTAGGATGACACCTTGTCTGGAGAACAGGACTTTGTGATGGTGGAACCTGTCAATCTGTCATAGTGACCAGCGGTGTGTGCTTACAGTTCTCTAGTCATGTGGTTGTTTCAGAAGTGACAGAGCAAGGAATAAATGACCAGGCTGCCATCTTAACTTTCTGTTACTAGTATTAAGGTTGACAGCTCCAATTCAAATCGAAATAGTGTGGCTGCTTTGAGTTAAAAGGCCACGGAGCTGTGCAGCAGAAACACACAGGACAAGATCTCACAGGCCTTGTTTCCGAGGGCTAATGATTATTTATTATTGACTAAGAAAGCTACATATTAATTTGTAACATGGTGTCCTGGTTTCACTTTGTAGAAGCTGGTGCATTAGCTGTTTTGTTGTGCAGTAGTGTGAGATTTGATCCACAGCTGACCTTGCGGAGTTTATTTAAGAGTGGAAAATTATTTTCCTGATCTTTAAATGTTTTTACTGCAGACTTAGGAGGCATTTTGGTAAGATGCCTACGTTTTACATCTTTATTTTACTGGAAGTATCAGGGCATGGGCAGAGATCTGAGAAATGCTTGTCTACTTGACTGAAGCTACACACTTCCAGTTTGCTTCCTTCTTTTTTTTCTACTGTGACATTTCTTGCCATGTACAGTGCTTCATGTTCCAATGAAGTTATTCCTTCTGTTAAAGCGTGTTTTTTTAATGCACAATCAAGGATATTTGCCTGGTTACCAGTGGACCAAGGCAGTAACCAGTGTGTGTAAAGGCACGTGGAAGGGGTGTATGCTGGAGCACAGCAGTTATTGGTGGTGTTAGCTAGCTGGCAAAGTTGACTGCTTTTTCTAGAGCTGCTCAGGACAACTCAAGCTCTTATAGGAGATGTGTTGAAAATAACAAAACTTAACTGTATAAGCTTTATATCATCTAGCTGTTTCAGAAATAACAGCATGCACAAGCTGTGTGACTCCCTTATCTAGAACATGTGGTTACTGCCTTTTGTCTTAAGATTGGGCAGGTGGGAGGAAAGAAATTAAAAATTAGGTAATCAAGGTCAGAGACAAGTTCAAAACCTGAACTGTTGCTGTTGATGTGACGCTTGTCTTTGTTTTTACCCATATCAACAACCTTTGACACTGGCTCGAGTCCTGTTTACTCAGGTGTGTTGCCAATCCTGCAGTTTAGCATGGGTAGCATATTAAGTGAAGCAAGTAACTCTGATTTATTTGGGTGTCTTGTGTGATTTCTTTATCCCTGTAGCTCGCATCTGTTACCCACCATCAGTTTTTCAGTACTAGGCCATTGCTAATGTATAGCAGTCGACAGAATGTGTCTGTTGCTAAATATGTGCGTACTCCTATGCAGGATGTGCAGAAAGGTTTCTTGAAGAATTTCTTCAAGTACTTACACTTAATGGAAAGTGTTTCATCTCTGTGACTGTGGTATCTTCAAGTGTTGCATCCTCTGCAGTTTATAGACAGAAGCACTTGTGCACAGGAATTAGACTGTGACCCTACTACCTTACATCTGAGCTAAATTCCTTCTAAGGAGATTTGCTGTTAACATGAAATTTGGATACACTTCTCAGACAGTTCTCTTTCCAAGAGTAATAGCTGACACATGGTGGAATTTTCCATTTTTTCCTGCTCAGAATTAACAGAAGCACACCTTCCCCTGCAGCCTGCAATGTATCCATCTGGCTACTGCTGCTCTTCTCTGTTTACAGAGAGACACTTGGACCATTCAGCTGCTATGATCTTGCCCTTGGCCATTTGTTCCTCCTACTCTCACTGGATTTTTTCCTCAAGGAATTGCCAAGAAACAACATAGAAAAGATCAGAAATCTGTGTATGATAAGCAGGCAAAGAACTATTATGTTTCCAACTGGAAGCCTGTTGTTTAGTGGGCAGAATAATGGGTTGGATCATTTATTTCTGTAGGTTGCAGTACAGCTGAACGGGTTTGGAAGTCCATCATTTTTTAAAGATGGAGGTAATAATTTGAAGACTTCCAAAAGCTTGAGCAGTGTTACCAATGGGAGCACTTCCGAAAGATCTTTTTTTTAATCAAAAAATGCTGTTATGGTACTGTCAAATATGTTGTACCATAATTTTTTTCTACCTAAAGTATGTGGCTATCAAATAATTGGAGTTTTAAATAAGATGTGATACAAAAAGGAGTGGCTCTTCTTCCTGAAGTTGTCAGGGACCAGTGATGGGCTATCCAATACATTTTTACCCTGGAAACTTACTGGGAGAAAGGATGATCTTTTCCTTAAAAAGATTTTTTTTTTTCTTTAACTCTGTGCAGTAGGAAGGCCACTGTAATATTGAGTTGCAAAGGGAGTGGTGAATGCTGATAAATTCTTTAAGTGATTCCTGCATCATCCAGCAGAATATCAGCAGAAGGCTTGCATGTAGTCATGGAATCATTAAGATAGTCTAGGAATCTAGGATAGTCTAGGCCACCCATCCACCTATCACCAATGTTGCATCCATGGAGTGTTTCTGTTAACAATGGAAAACCTGAAATCTATCATCTCAGTGGAATTGAGGCTAAAACTGACATCTACTGAACAGCATTTTGATCAAGTTGCATGACTGTTTACTAGTTCTCACAGATCATGTAGCACTGTGAAGCTTGTTTGCCTGCCCTAAAGAATAGAGATCAGATAGTTCATTTCCAGAGTGCCATAGGAATTGCTGTCCCAAATACTGAATGCTTAATTCTCTTTAGTCCATCCTTCAATCTAGGTTGTTTTTTGATCACTTTTCCTTTTTGCGTCATGTTAGTGCTAGTCTCTCTGCTGATCCACAGCTGCTGTTCACTTTCCTATTTGTATGGGGTTTTCGAAGTCTTTGGCTTTCCTTCCTACCTCTGTGAGGAGCAGTGCAAATTCTGAGACACATCTGCTGTTATGGAAGCCATAGGTGGTTAACTGGCCTTCCTTTACCCATTGTGAATATGTAGCTTTTCCAGGGTACCATATTTCCAGGAACAGCCTTTTCAGAAAAGGTTTTTCTGTTTTTTTTGTTTTGTTTGTTTGTTTGTTTGTTTTTTGTTTTTTAAGAATATTTTCTCCCATCCTGTAGTTCTTCTCTTAAAATTGAGAGTGTTTGCATCTTTAAATCAAATATAATGTCCTAATGGCAAAAGTGATGTAGTGTCTTTGGAAATGGGGTGTGGGGGGGAAACCAAACATGTGAAAGGCAGGATATTCTGTGAGTCCCCACCATGACTCAAGACATTCAGGCTCATTTCCCAGGCTTGCTTCCTGACCTTGGGCCAATCACGTTGCTCCCTTTTTCTAAAAATATTACATTAGCATCTAAACTGGAAAAAAGTTTTCTTGCTTTTTTTTTAAACAAAACAAAAAAGAAACAAACAAAGACACCCAGATGGTTATATTCCATGCATATTTAAACTATGTTTAATTACCTGTGTTAAGTATCTGTCTTGCATGCAGATCCCTTAAAGATAAAATGTTAAAATTATATATTTCTGGATTACCACCTTGCACAAGAGAACTCTGCATTTGCCTGGGCTGCTTGTTTTCAACTGTGCTAGAAGTCTTGAACTGAACTGTGGTGCTAGAAGAAGCCTCTGTTGATGTGTGTATAGCATTGGATAGAAACCCTTGGGACACGGTGTGCACTCTCCTTTAAGGAGCCTCTTGTTTATTTGACAAAGCTTCCTCAATTTACAAGTACAGTATCTATGTCTGGGGAAATGGTATTTATGAGCGTGTTTTTTTCTTGGCTGCTGTAGGAGAAGATGTAGAGAAGTTATAAATGTCACCTGGTAGGTGTTATTAAATTGGTTTATTATATCTTTGTAATTATGAAAGATGTTGGTTCACTAAGTCAAAAATGAAACATTCCTTTCTACTTCTCTCTAGAGAAAATGTATATCAGACTTTATTTAGTTTTTTTTGTTCATCTTACTGTCAGAAGGCTGTGTAATTCTTCCACAAAACAAACATCCTTGGCATGGCCTATGTTAAGAGTACACTCAGCTATACACTCAAAATATCAGCAAGCTTTATGTAATAGTGAGTAAGAATTCAGTGGCCCAGATTTCCATTTTCTGACCATCAGGAAATTTAAGAACAACTAGATCACCATTCAGATGATATCCATTGCAGGTTCAAGTTGAGTAATAGTCGTTTATGGCTTGTACCTTGGGCAGACTGATAGAGAAAGCTAGGGAGAAGCAAGAACACAGTTCTAAAAGATTGGCAGAAATATAAATATGTGTATTCTGTGTCATTGGAGTCCTGTGTGAAGCTGGAGTAATGGAGCATTTGTTCAGTACCTTGATATTAAAAATAGAACATGAAGGATATAATAGGTCAGTATTTCTGCATATAGTATTGAGTAGCTGAAGTGCAAATTTAAGGAAAAAAAACAGACAATGCCAGAGAAGATAAGGCCACAGATGTTCTTGCCATACCAGTGTTAGACCGACAACACAAAATGAAGAGTTTGTCACTTGGCTGTTCTGTATTTCAATACAGAATTGTCAAACTGTTGTTCATAACCAGGTAAGGAAGAAAAAAAAAAGTCAACCTGAGAAAAACAACCATGTTTTTCTTGACCCTTGAATTTCTGAAAGGGAATGGAGTGGGATTAGACTCCCCTGCTGATGAAGTAGCTGAGATATTTTATAAGTGGGCTTAAGGAGTTAGGAAAAATTCAATGCTAGCTCTTCTTAAATGTAGTGGATAGGGCTAAGAAAATGCTTTGAGTATGCGCTGCAGAGCCAGAAGCGTCATTTTGAATGGATAGCATCTATGGCCTTTTGGCCATCTGTATCACATTTAAGATGTCAGAGAAGTGCTTCAATAGGATGTGACCATTACTTTCACATTTCATGCCAGCCTTCAGCTTGGACCAGTTTCACTCATGGAAGATGTTAAAAGTTCATTCCATGTAGTAAATAAATACATCCAAAAATGCTCTCTACCAACTATACCAGTCTTGTTAAGAAATGTGTATGCGGCCTTCACTCACCTGCTTTAATGCAGTGTCTAAGCCACGTTTGTGGTGGTGTTTTCTCACACAGCCACACTAGGGCAGCTCACAGATGCAGAGGGGTTGGCCTGTGGCAGGAATGGACATGTTGCAGTCTGTTCAAGGTAACAGTCCTTGGCTACTTTGTATGAATTAAATATCCTTTGAAGCTGCCCAACATAGTCTGAAAGATTTGTCATGCTTCTATTCTGTGGGAAATGCCACAGTGTCATACTTGCAGACAGTGCCCAGGAGTGGACATTGTTGCCACAAGGAAAGAAAAGTATCTTGAGAGTTAAGGAACAGGAGAGTTTTGTCCTTATCAGCCACAGGTGAAGCTGATGGCATCTGGTTTTATTACAGGGCTTTTCAGAGCACCTCCAGTAAAGTAAGAAAAGAATGCATTGATTAGGCTTTTCTGGAAGATGCTCTAATCGCTCATAATACCAAGAGGCAGGTTGCTTTCTACACTATCTTTGCATCACCATTACCATGCATGCTGTGTTCTGGGATGGACAATGCATGATGTGCAATTCGATCAGTCTGGAAAGAGAAAAGGACAGTGTGTCTGCAGGATTGTACTGTATGAGAGCAAATGGTGACCTTCAAGGGGCTGTAACTCAGCCAAGTGTAGGTGTGCATCTGTTAGAATACCAAGTAACTCCTGCAGCCCAATCCATTGTTTGATTGCCTCCTCCAAATGATACTGAATCACATAATGGTTTAATAGCAAATACCTCATGCCTCTGCTGCTGTTTCAACTTAGATGTAACCCATTAATCCTTTTTCCCTGTCCTAGAGCTGAGTTTCACTCCTAAATCTTCTGTCTCTTGTCTTCACACAGGGATCTACCGCACAGAAAAAGACAAAGGCACATTGTATGAGCTGACTTTTAAAGGGGACACAAAACATCAGTTCAAGAAAGTTGTTCTATTTCGGCCATTTGGTCCAGTAATGAAAGTGAAAAATGAAAATGTCAATATGGCTGACACACTTATTAATGTCATTGTGCCATTGGCCAGGAGAGCAAGCAAGTTTCGTCAGTTTATGCAAAATTTCAGGTAGGTCTCCATCCCAATGCTGCTTCTCCTATATATTACTTACTAAATAAGATGCAACTTCAGGAGTTGTTGAGACCTCTCTCAGTAAAAGTTTACATAGCATTTTACTGTGTGATTTAGAAATCGTTTTTGAGGCTGAAGAGAGTGGAAGGCATTTGATTCTTAATGTGTTGTATTTAGCAGCAAAAGCAACTGTATTTCAGTCATGAGGATTTCTGATTTTTCACATATCACAGAATCACAGGATTGGAAGGAACCTTTGAAGGTTATCCAGTTCAACCCCCCTGCTGAAGCAGGTTCCTGAAGAGTTTGTAGTACCCACTTGTGTTGGGCACACATTGCTGTGTAGCAGTGTAAGAATTTCATGCTGTCAGTTGCAGAGGAATGTTTTGAGGGAAAACAGAGTTAGTGCTTCCTGACACTTTGACAGGCTTTTTTTGGGGAAAATATTAAGGCAGTAGAAGTCAGAAAGGAAATAGATTAAAACTTCAGATAGTTAGGAGTTATTAGTTTTAAAGCCCTTTCCATTTTCAATGTAGATGTCTTTGGAGGGAAAATGTAACTGAAATGTAGCTTTAAATAGCTGCCCAGAAAAGGCTGTCGTAGCAACAGATAACTGACTCCTGCAGTGGGATTTATTTTGCTAATTACAGCCATCTATAAACAGGCTCCTTGTCTAAATTAACCATCTGCGTGATGTTTGTTTTAGAATGGGAGAAATCACCTTCTGATCATGCTGATCTCTACTGATTAGAGAAAAAGTCTTCCTGATTAAACTTGGTACAAATATGGCACGTGTAGCGTTAGGTCAAATTAGTTGTACCTTTAGGCTTTTGACTTGGTCTCCAGGCTCTACAGGTCAGTGTAGAGATCTCTGCTGGTGAAATTATGCCCTCAGGAATGCCTTCCAAGGTCCACCCTAACCATCTTCCCCAGCAAGTGCTGGTTACTGAAGCATGCTAACTTCAAATCTGTCTCTGTTCTCTAGGGAAATGGGCATTCAGCAGGATGGGAGAATTCACCTCACAGTTGTTTACTTTGGAAGAGAACAAGTGAATGAGGTCAAATCTATACTTGAAAATACCTCAAAGTAAGTATTTGAGTATCTAACAGTGCACACAGTGATTGTATTATGAATTGGAGACTAGATTAAAAAAAAAAAGTCCTTAACTCATTGGAGAAAAAAACATTTTTTGTTTGTATCAGTTATAAATGATGTTATTCTGACAGTCCCAGATTTTTGAAGGTGACTTTTTAACTGTTAAGTCTGAAGGCTGACTTTCAAAGACAGGTACAGACAGTCTAGTAGAGCATACAGGACCTAGATGCTTTTGACCATCTTGCTGAAAGTCTTGTTTTGATCAGCTTTGTTATAATCTCCATGCTGGAAGAAGACCCTTACTTACACAGATACTGTAGGTAATATGGCCACGGGTATTTTATAGTTGCCTGTTGAATAAGTACTTGTCCTGCTAAGCTTCACTGAGGGTCTTTGTAAGGTCTGTCCAAGGAATGTCTCTGACAGGAATGCTAGCATAGTCATATGCAGGTCAAGCTCCGGAAGTACACATAGTGGAAGTTTCCAAGACTTTAAGAGCTTGTCTGTTCCCCTAAAGTGCTCTCAAAACCCTGGTATGATAAATTTCTATGTTAGTTGTCACATACTGGATACTCATCTCCATTTGCACTAAGAGCTGGAAGTGAGCATATGCTGATGAATATTTTCCTACCCTAGATCAACCAATTTCAAGAACTTCACTTTCATCCAACTGAATGAAGAGTTTTCCAGGGGCAAAGGATTAGATGTTGGTGCTCGAGCTTGGAAAGGAAGTAATGTTGTTCTCTTTTTTTGTGATGTGGACATATACTTCACAGCTGAATTCCTGAACTCCTGTAGATTGAACACACAGCCAGGTACTGCTTCTCTGCTTTCAGCGGATCCACAGCCACTGTGTAACACTTCACTACAGTATTGTATTTGAATTGGTGATGAAGCTAAGCCACTCATAAAACTTAGGGAACTAATTAAGACGTATGGAAATACCGTTGCCGGTTGGCTTTTGAAAGGTTACAGCACCCCCACACCGACTGTAATCGAATTCCTTGCCTCTGGCACCTCAGCTTTCTGGACCTGAACCTTCTTGTTTATTATATCCTCACATTTGTGTTCCCATGCAAAGAATATAGGCTGAGTTGAAAACTTATGTGACTGTATGGTTTTGATCTAGTCTGGATTGCATCTTGTAGGTGTGAGAAATGTTTTATACAGTTTAAAAAACAAATAATGAACCCATTGTCATTTCCAGGAAAGAAAGTTTTCTATCCTGTTCTCTTCAGCCAATATAATCCCAGTATAATTTATGGCCATCAAGATTCCATCCCATCTTTAGAACAGCAGCTGGTAAGTATATATTTTTCTGAATGCCTGCTTTTATATGTACAAAATTCTCAATTTGAAATGGTGCATATGCTCTTAGGAAGTATTTCCCTATTCCTCGTGCATAGCGATGTGCGTAAGAGTACTGTGAAGACAAAATTAAGTATAACAATCATCTCACTGTGAATTCTGCAGGTATTTCAGCCAAAAAATATATTGGTATCATTCATTTTAGCCCGTGTTTGATACTTTATACCTGGAAACTAAGAATTTCAATTTTATCTGCTGTTCTTTGAGAAAGGATTTTTTTTTTAATTAAGTAACAACTCGCCCATGGCATGGTGTCTTGGGGTAAAAGTCCCTGATATTGCTTTCATCTCCTCTTTGCACTACTTCTTTTCCTTATATCTTGGTACTTGCTACAGCTGCTCCTCCTGTTGCAGGTGCTGCATCTGCCAGGGACTGTCCTGTCCTACACCGGGCACTCCTGCTATAGTTAAGAGTTTGGTGTTGGAAGTCCAGTAACAGTCACAACTGAAAAAAACAGACAACCCTTTTTTTTTCCTTTCTAAAATAAAGCATGCTTTAGATTACTGATGTAGGGAATAAGTAGTTGAAAGATCATGACAGTGTAGCACCTAGGGATTAAAAAAATGCTTCCTCATTCACGTCTATGAAAAGACAATCTTTTTTTTAAGCTGTCACACGTAAAATTTATTTTAAATGTTATTGAAGAATCTGGAACATCCTTTTTACTGCTTTTGTCTCAGAGGAAACCTGCTGTGGCAATACTATAGAATTTGCTTTAGCTTTTCTCTCTGATGAGAGTATGTTAGAGATCCTCAGGCTTGTAAACACTGCTTGGAAAGGAAATAGAGTTTAGCTCAGAAACTCTCATAAATTCCATAAACTGCTTTGTCAGGACTGTGCAAATATTTATAGCTAATACTTGAATCATAAAATGTGATGCTTATTTCAGAAAAGCTTCTTGATTTCAAAAAGTTCTGCCAATCTCATTTTTATGTAGATTTTTATATTTTCAGCCCACGTTAGTTCCTGGGCTTGAGGCCAGATCTCTACCATTAAAACAAGACAGTTAGCTCTGTCCTGGTACTTGTGCTGCTGAGAAAGAAAAACCTCTGAAATATTTGAAATAAATTGATCTGTGCAGAAACTATTTGCGCTAATGGGAAATAATAATGCTAATGTATATGAGTAGCTTGCTTTGAGGGCATAACTATGGAGATATCTTGTTACGGTGCAGACCTGAAAGATAAAATCTTATTTTCTTTTAATTGGTTTCCCTCATTGGCTTGGTTTTTTGGGGGAGAGAAGAAACAAGAAAGAGAGCAACAGGAGCAGTAAAAACAACAAGGGTTATGAACAAAAGGGGGAAGGCATGAATCAGAAGCCAGGAGAGACCATTTTGGAGTAGGAATTTTTGGTTAAGGAAATGCTGCTTGGATTGATAAATCCAGAAATGGAAATCCTGCCTCATCTCCTGCAAAGGAAGCTGGAATTTTCAAGAATAGCTGCCTAAGGGAAGATTTGTAACCACCCCTTGAAGAGGGTGAAGTACTGCTGGCTGACTTAGAGGATTTAAATACCTGTCCCAGTCTTGTTGAAACTCTTAGTGTTTAAATCACTCACACATGTGAATTATGACCTTGGTGGTCTATTTTTGTAAATTTGCTTTGAAAATGATAGCCCTGGTCTCTAATTGCTCTGATTTTCTATCTATAATGCACTATATTTTCATAGTCCATTTCAGTAGTGTGGGCAGCATATCTGTTATGACAAAGACTATTATGGAATGTATATTTACATTTCTGGACTCTAGTTTTAGCTGGTAATTAAAATAGTTATGTGATGAAAATTATCCTTACCACTTTTTAAATTTTGGTCAAAACTAAGTTAATCAAGAAACTGTCACTTGTACAGGTCAGAACATCTGTTTTCTTCCAGAGCTCTTGTCCACAATCCAGATGCCACCCATCAGCTCTATTGCAGAGTCTGGCTTTTCTGTCTTACCAGTATGTTTCTTACATGTGATTTGTATCCCACAAAAAATGGTTTTCGATGTTGATGTACATCTGAAGAAGCAAACTCCAGATTGTGGTGGGGATATTTCTCCATTTGGGCTACAACAGCAGGCAGGGAGCAAAACCTGATCCTTCTCTGTCAGGGGATTTATCCATGATAGCTAATGACGCGGTTATTTTTCTGGGCAGAAGCATGCCATGAATATATACAAATGCTGATAGATCAGCTACAGATTTACATGGTGTAGAGTAAATGGGCAGGTGTTCTTGTTTCTGACTGCATTTGGGAACTTGTTTCTCTGCTGCTCATGCTGTAAGCATTTCTACTACCATATAAATGTTCCTTTCCCCTCATGCAGATTATTAAAAAAGAAACTGGATTTTGGAGAGACTTTGGTTTTGGAATGACTTGCCAGTACAGATCTGATTTTATCAACATAGGTAAGAATAATATGCTCAAATACATTGGCTGTTTTACTGAAACTTAGGAAACTGTAGTCAACTTTCCCTGGCCAGTGTGTGTCTATGCCTCTGTTTGCAGCAGTGATCTGGCTAGGTGTTCAGACTATTCCCAAGTGCCATAGAGGTTACCAGAATCCAAGCACTGATTAGTACAAATAAAGCCATTTCGGCTGGTGGTGAAAGATTTGAAGTTGAGGAGTTTTGGACACTTTGTTGGCAGAAAGCATGTCTGTTTTCAAGGGCTGACCGGAGCTAGAAAACAGCTGTAGTGCAATTAATAGCATCAAATTTGGTAGTGGGAGATGCATATTTCTAGAGTTATTTTGGATTTTCTTTGTGTCAGGTGGCTTTGATCTGGACATTAAAGGCTGGGGTGGTGAAGATGTACATCTGTACCGCAAATACCTTCACAGCAATCTCATCGTGATCAGAACACCCGTCAGGGGTCTCTTCCATCTCTGGCATGAAAAACAATGTCTGGACGAGCTGACCCCAGAGCAGTACAAAATGTGCATGCAATCCAAAGCCATGAACGAGGCTTCTCACGGCCAGCTAGGGATGCTTGTATTCAGGCAAGAGATTGAAACTCACCTCCACAGACAGAAACTGAGCAGTAAGAAGACCTTAAGCGAGAAATTTGCTAACAAAAGATGGGTTAAGACTGAAAGAGAATGAAGATTTCAACAGGCTGGAAGCAAAAGCAGATGAGGGAAAGTGCTTGTCCTCACTGCTTCTGATTTTTCTTAATAGCGCTTTTAAATTCTCCATTAGCTTGTCCAGCACTTGCTTCCAGGGGAGACTTGAACACTTGGTGAGATTAAAGGTCATGGAGGAATGAACGTTTCATAAATACCAGTGTGATACAGTAACAAAGGAGATGCTCTTCCATTGGAATGTTTGTAAGATGCATGCAGTTGTTTAAAAGATTGACCCTTCGGTGGATCAATAATAATGAGCTGTTTTCTACGCATCTAAAAAAGGGCTGCGTTCAAAGATACAGAGTTCTTGCTCTGAAAAGGAAATCTGGTTATTAACAGTGGTTAAGCCGGAGTGACCAAAAGTCTTTTTTCCTTTTTTGGGACTTGGGGGGGGGAGGGGGACAGCTGCAGTGTACTTACAAGATTATTCACCAGTTGGTTCAGTGACAAGAGGCATTTCAGTGCTTTCTAAAATTCAGAAAGAGAAAACCCTGCCAGTCAACTGTTATTTTTCCAGAACATATGAGATTAGTGTTGATTCTATTTTGTGGACCAAAATAAGTAAAGTAAACCAAAAGCAATCGCCTGTGTCTGTATCACATGAATCAGATGGTGTATTTCTGCTTTAGAATACTGTAAGTATCTCGACATTGTTTTCTTAAAATGGATTTGGTTTTGCCTGGGAATTATGTTATCAGTACTTGTGGTTTTCAAATTCTAGCCTTACTAGGAAACAGACAACTTTCCAATGCTTGGAAAATGCTCTGCAGATCTGTTTTTCCTGGATGGGAACTTTGTTCAGATAAATGAATTGATTTCACTGTAGAATCTGAGTGCTGGAAAGAAGAAGCTTTATGCTGGAGAAGAGGAAATGTATTTCAACTTGGACTACTGATTTAGCAGGAAACTTCAAATTCTGAACACCAGTCACAAAAACTATTGAAAAATTTCTGACTTTATACCAAAGTATTCCATCTGAACCAAATCTAGAATCTTGCCCAGAGTATAGCAGATTTTGTAATTAACAAAATAAATTTTTTTTATGTATTACTAAACCCTGGAAATTCTTTTATAGTAATTGTGTGTTCATAAAATTAGCCATCTTAATAGATTTTTTTTTTTTTCAGTGATCTAAAACTGTTCCAAGTGAGCTACTGCTGTTGTGGAGTGGTTTAATGCTGACTGCTGTTTATCATTTCAGTGTTTAATAGCCAAAAAACATGTGTGGGTTTGTCAATCCCATTTATTTATCTAAATGCTGTTTCTCCCAGGGGTCTCTTTGTTTTATAGCTTTAGATTAATTCAAGTTAGTCTGAAACTAGATTCTAATGTGGTTTTGGGGTTGTAAAAGCTAGGGGCGACAAGTATAAAAGATAACAATTATGAATGAATAAAATGCCATTTGTCCTTTTGCTGAGTGATAGGAAGAGTGCTTATGAACCTCTCTAGAAAGCACTGCATGCCGAATCTGCAGAGAACATGCTACTACTGTTAGTACATCTTCCTTTGTACATTTACATATTTGCCTTTTGTTAGATGCAAGTGACCTTCATTGCACTTTCCATGTGGAACACCAAACATGTCCCAAAACAGTGCAAAAATACACAAGGATCTGCTGGAAAGAGAACTCTGTGCTTAGAAAAGAACTCTTAATGCGTCACTTACAATGCCATCAGCAATAATTCAAGTAGATCTTCCAAAGAATGTTTTCTCTTTCCAGCACGCATGATAAATTGTTTAAATTTAATCTGTTCTGATGGAGACATCTGACAAATGTTATTGTACTGGGAGGAGTCAGGCACACTGAATGCATCTGAGGGCTGTGATCACTGCTGTTACAAAGTGAAAGCTTTTCCTACTGTCCCATTTAACCTGGATTTGAAAATAGATGATGCATATAATAGAAATTTCGTAATTGCAACCTGCCTTGAACTTGACCTTTTCTATTTCCTGTGATATTTTCCATCATCTTCTTTAGGTATAACTTCAGCCCTGAGCAGTTTAATGTTACTCTGAGGTTGGCACATTCTACTTGTTGAGCATGGCTGGATGATCTCCAGAAGTCCATTGAAACCTCTATTAGTTTCTAATTCTAAGCTTTAGGCATCTGTAAGTCCAATACATCACTGCTTTGGGTATAGCACATCATCAAGCCCCTGTCAAAGCTGTACAAGTTATGTTTTTTTTTTTTGAGATCTCTTGTGATTTTTCTTGCATGTCTTTTCCCATAGGGATGCCAGGAGTAATATTGTTTATGCACTTTCTGTCTCTTGGCTGCAGAACCTAGTTTGGCAAAAGGTGGGATTGAATCAGTGATGAGAGCACCAGCCCACAGTCATTGCCCACCCCAGTGAGATTCAGAGGAAAATCTAATCCCAGCAGAAGTCTGGTAGGCCTCGCTTAAGCATGGAGTCTGTACTGATAAGGAAAAAAGAGAAAGGGAAGCTGTTATTACCTACGCTTCCATAGACAAGTGGAGGTCTTTCATGGCAGTTATATGAACATCCAACATAAGTGTAGCTTTTGGTAGGCAGCTCTCTACCTTCCTTGCCCTAGAAACAGCCAGCTTGTGATCTTTCTCAGAATGGCAGATTTAACAGGATCTTAGCTGGGGAGAGAATACAGGTCACTATTCATATTTGGAGAGGTCACCTCGGGATTTCTGGGTTTACTTTTTGAGGACTTTTGCGTGTTCTGGCTAAAGGAATGAAGGCCTTTGACTAAACAAATTGGCATGTCCTTTCAGCTGTCATAATTGTTTCAGCAAGTAGTTTACAAATGTTATTACCCTTGTAATACTTGCACAGCATCCACTGAAGAAGAAAGTCTGTAGAGAAAGTCCACGATGTGAGTAAAACCAGCATTTCTGATTCTTCCTTGCTCCGCTCATTTTAAGGGTAACTTGCAAATAGGTAGTTATAACACAAAGGTATCCACTAGTCAGCAGTCCAAACACTGAAGAGGCCCATTATGGATCTTAGAGACACAGTTGGTCATGTGTGTGAGGTCCTGCTGTGTCAATGGCAAATCAACCTGCACATTAATTCTGCAAGTTAACAGCCTGTTTCTCAGGCTTTCTCTCTCTGAGAGCTCTCATGCTCTACCTTTTTAATGGAGACTTTGTCTGATTTTTACTAGCCCATACTTACACAAAATACTGTATGATTTGTCTCCAGCAGGACAATTGCTATGCTGTACTCTTCACCTGAGAACATGAGAAGGTATTCTCTAGTGCTGTGAAATCTCTGACTTATAATTTCTCAGAATAAGCAGTTCAGAAAAGGGAAGGATAGCTTTTTTTCCCCACAGACCACTTAGTGTCCTTTCTCATGATTGATGTTGACTATGTTGAAAATATCTATTTCATAGATGTGATATAATGCCCAAGAAGTTCCTTAAATCTTTTGTCCCATTACTGTTGTTACTTTCAGAATCTAAACTTTCAGAATCCGCATTTATATTAAGGCTTTTATCTCTACGTATTAAAACTGCTGCAGCTGGATTGCAGGTTATGCTCTCTGGAAACCACTGATCAGCATGATTGTAAATTTTAAGACCAGGTGATTATAAGAATTTCTTCTAATCTATGTTCTGCAAAATGCTGTTCAATTTAAGACTGAAGATTTTGACTTCTTCTGTTAAGCAGGGTATCCCTGATCCAGTTGAAGGAGGGGAACAGGTAAACAAGTGAGTACTTGCTTACTCTTTGACAGTCACATCTCTAACAAGTGATCGTGTTAGCAGTCTTGCACAACACTCCCAAGTTGTGCATTTTCTCCTGTGAAACAATTCAAATTGAAGCAATCTGGGTGAAGATAAATTTATGTGATTCTGTTCAGCTTCTTCCTCGATATTCTGAATTGTGTGTTTTTAGAGCAGTGTAACAGATACAAAGAGAACATTTTGTTGAAAGAAAAAGTTCTGTTATATGGTTCACAGGATCTGCATCCCAATAATTTGGACACAACTTGTAATAAATAGCTCTGTTCTGAAAAACAGCATTATTTACTGGCAAACTCTTCCGTAAACTGTACTAATACTGATACAGGCCCTATTTCTTACATTATTTAGGCTCTGTGAATGCAGTTCTTCCTAACAAATTCCTGCATCCCTTCTCCACTCCCTTGCAAAAGGTTAATCACCCTCTAGGCAGAAAGGCCAGTGTGGGATTTAGATACAGGTTAGAAAACTATATTCATAGTCTATTTTCAGAGGCTAAAGGAATTTTTAAAATGTATTGTTCATAAAAAAAACCCTCTTCACATTCACAGAGATCACATTTCACTGAAAGGCACCAAGGGTGTGCTTGGATGTTTTACTTGAACATCCTTGATTCCAAGGGCACAGCATTTTACAGAATTGTTTCTGTGAAGTTTCTTAAACAAATTACTATCGAGACTGATTCACTTCTCCAAGTTCTTTGGTGCCTTCAGGAAGCTATGGTCTCATTCAATTTTAGGTACCAATCTGTTTCCCAGACAGCAGGCAACCTTGCATTCAAGAGCAAAATGCAACTTGAACATAGATATCCCTGAGGAAATCTGCAAAAATCTCTGTTCAACTGATACTTCATCGTCTAATCCGTCTCTGTTCAACTGATACTTCATCATCTAATCCACATGCATGATGTATCTGGGTGTTTAGTAGCTTGCTGGGCTGATGCATCTTTTAACTGTTGAAACAATAAGCCTGTGACAGCACTTATTCTCCCACTGCTTTGTTGTGAAGGATTTGAAATAGAGGCACTTATGGCAAGTTTCAGGTAAGCATCAGCCGCTTCCAGTTTGAAGTCCAGTCTTGGTGAAAACAGTTCGGGGCTACATAATGAGACTGGGAGTTTCACTCAAAGAGAGAGATGTAATCTGGTTCATGGTCCTCTTGACCACATGGGTAAAGCAACAGCTCCTTTCCCATAGAAGTGATGGGTTCATCCTGTTGACAGAGAACACAATTAAACACTTTTCAAACAGGCCAGTATATCTGGAATATCATAATATATTACCACTCCATTACTTTGTGGACCTATTAATCTCACTGTGTGATACATCTCAGAGCCCTGGGAATTCAGGAAGCAGATTTGCATGGCTGGCTTCTGCCTTCAAGAAAACATCTGTGCTTGGTGTGGTAATCTGGTGAAATGATTCTGGTAGGTCTTGGAAACAGCTATGCTTATCTTGTAATATCAGCAGCTTCTACAGTGTGAAATGCTGTCCTGCCTAGGAATTTCTGGAGTGAGGATAGTGTGGCATGCAAGTTAGCAGGACTGCAAGCTTGCTGCAGATGCACTACTGCAGGTGGGGTGTCCACAAGTGGGAGTTGTGTTTGTGAGTGGGGTGGGAGTGGATCCTGCAGTGAACATGTGCCTTCTGCTTTGGCAAGCCTGTTGCTAATGAGTATTCCCTGGAAACCGTGTTTCTGTTTCCCATCCTAGTCTCAATCCCAGTAGTAGATGCATGGTGGGAACTCGCCTTCTTTCATGGTCACCCGGTGGATGATGAGCAGAACCCACTGAAGCACTTTAGCCAGGTAGGTTTGCCCTGCTCCCACATACATCTGCTGTAGTGTAGTAGAGTCCATAGGATTCTTTGCAGACTGTGGGTGTGACTCTATCTTTAATACAGACATCCACAGCCAGGCTTTAAATCTTCTAGCTTTGGTGCCAGTAAGTTGTCTAGCTCCTGCTTTCAAGAGATTCAGCCTGGACTGTGAAACCTATGCAAGAAGCAGATTGAAGTAGCCCAGATAGATTTTCACATAGCAAATGAGCATAGATATTTTCTTCATCGACCAGTTTAATCACATCTACATTATGCTAGGCACTTACTTAAAAGATGTATTTGGTTGTCCCCACTGGGCTCACATACCCTTCTGGAATGTCACATAGAATACCCAGTAGAAGCTAAAATGGGACTAGTTAACCACATGATAACAACTGAATCTGATCCTTCTTATTTTGAAGTGCCCTCGCTTTGCCTCAGGGCATGTCATGGTTTTGAGGCAAATACATAAAAAATAGTTAATGAGTGCATTGCTAGACCTTCACCTTGTGGTAGTCAACAAGGTCAGCCAGTGTTGAATGTTGTAGCTGGTCCACTCCAAGGAAGCTGTAGGAATCACTGGAGGCATCAATAAGGAAGTGTTTACATCCCTCTGCGGACCGATAGGAAAGCGCGTAACCTTTGATTTTCTCACTGACACGGACCAAAAAACTCCCTGGCACTGTTTTACTCAGAAGCTCCTCTGCTTTCCTAGAGGTTAGGATACCTGTTCAAAGACACAACACGCAACTGAAGCAAGAAAAGCATTTGTTCGAGAGCAGATGGAGCAATTCTCCCAAGAAACCCTCTTTAGCATTCTAAAACTAATTCACAATGTTTCTATCCCCTGCATGTTTTCTTCCCGCCAGTCCAAGACAGGTATTGCCACTGCTGGTAGCAGACCATGGTGTCATCCTAACTGTACTTTGTGCTAACTGTTCTACATCCAGCATATTAGACTTGTTACAACTAGCTATGAGAAGTCAAGAAGGTCTGGCTTTCACTCTTAAGACTTTAGCTTGATCTTTGTCATAATTAGAGAAATTCGAACTATCGTACATATTTAAAAATTGAAAACTTAGCTAGCTACCTTCAAAAAGTTCCTGGGAGCAGTCTGTTACAGCAGTCCTGTTAGTAGAAACAACTCCTTAAAAGGTTGGGTTGGGGCAAAAGCGCTCAGGACTCACCATGAAACCAAGGTGCTATCGTGTCTGTGGTTTTCTGATAACCAGCTCGAAGGGGGAATTGCTCCTCTTTGAACCACTTGATGATGCTTTCTTCAGCTGAATTAGAGATTGTCCTCTGGATTGCCTCTTTCCTGTTACAAAAGACAGTAATTTGTCTATCAGGTTGAAATGACAGCTTTTAGATCCTGGAAAGAATTGCTTTTTGTTCAGCGTGTTTGGAACTGTCACAGTTATGTCACTGAAATGGAGCTTTTGGTATGGGAGTTTATTTTGATGAACAGTAATATCAGTGAGAATCCCAGTCTGATGGTTAATCTCCAGGAGTGAACAAATATACCTTATCGCTAATTAACAGCTCTGTCATAATCTTCATACCCTACTCTGGAATACAGTTTAGCCTTCTTATTTTTCCCTGTGGAGTGTTTCCTCTACATGAGGAGAACAGGCATTCCCCATCTCAACCAGCCCTTTCTAGAGTAGAAGAATCTCACCCCCTTTCCCCTCCCTTCAACAGTACGTGTTTTTCTCACCTAACTGCTCCGCCATTCGCCATCACAGGAGGTGGAAGTTTAGGTTTGGGTGGGAGAGGAGGATATTGGAGTGGTCGCCGATCTCCTGCTGTGGCATTCTTGGATATGTCTGCCTGCTTCCCTCTACGGGCTCCCTGCAGAGAAAGCCTTCTGTAGTCGTCTCTGGCCTGCCGTGCAAGAGAGCGTCTCTTCTCATCTGCTGCCTTGGATTTCCGCACTGGAACAGAAAAGCAGTCATGCAACAGGTGTGAACAAGCAGGCAAGTTTTGAGCTTGCTGCTGCTTAGCCATCTCTTTGCTTGCCGGAGCTGAGGAATAATGCATTCTAGAGCTTTTAGGTTCTCTCTGTGTCCCAACGCTAGGCACAAATGGTGTTAATATGGAAGGAGGGAGCTCTGGAACTAAGGTACTTTCCCTCTATTTTCAAACAGGCATCTTAGGTTGCATGTATTGGAAGTCGTTTATCTTCCTTGCAAGCCTTGAGTGGCTTAGCTACTCTGGCCACTGTATGAAAGATGCACTTACCTATGAGAACATCTGTCAACTCTCTCCCACCACTTTTAGGCATCTACTATTTAAAAGAGCCAAGTTCTTATTCCTTCAACAGATGAAAATCTGAATTCTATCTTTGTACTTAGAAATGACTTGGTTTTGTTTCATGTGACTCTTGACTGAGACATAAATTTCTGTGATGCCTTTTGTGTGAGTGGAGACCTGAACAAGAAGGAACAGTTATTCAATAAGACAAGAAAATGTTTTTAGCTGACCCATAGACTTTTTGAACAAAATGGGGAAAAAAACGCACAATTACTTTGTCAAATTAAAATCCCCACTTAATTACAAATGGTACCATTATCTCTTTCTTGAAAGGCTGGAGAGGATGGCAGAAAAAACGATGGGAGAAGCAAGTGGCCCTTCAGCCTTTCAATTCAATTTGTGCACTGAGACAGGAATTTTGCCCCAATCCTTCTAATTTTGATAAAAATCAGGATGAAAAGAGACCTTACGCTGCATGTGGTGAAATAATGTTGGAAAAGCCACAGCAATACATGAACAAAAACTTTTGTTTCTATTTCCAGCAGACTGGGGAGGCAGAAAACTGCTGGAATGACCACAAATGAATCCTCTAAAGGATTTGAAAATCTTGATGGGCTTTACAAAGGGAAGGGAATGTTGCTGTAATTTCTGTGGAGTAGAGAACTTGGCTGGATATTATTTTTTTTGTTTTTGCTGAGTAACCGGCTCTTCAGCCTGAGTTAGGCTAGTACTTTCTGTGCTTTTGTAATCAAATTCATTCTTTTAATTAGAAAAACAAAAGTCTTGGCCTGAAGTGGAGACAAATGGTGGTACAGTATTGCCATCTACTGAACAGCAGGGGAGAAACTAGGAAAAAAAAGCATTAAGTTTGCCTTCAATTTTCCTTCTGCACAGGAAAGGAAGACGTGAGGAGCAGGACTTGAACCTGGATGGAAACAAAGGCAAGCAGAGTGTCAGGGTATTTCTCAATATTTTCTGCGTACTAAGCTTGTGACTCTTTTTTTAGTCTTTGAAAAAGCTGTACAGCAATGTTTCCTCAAAAGGAATCAAGTTGAATATCTTTTTTACTCAGGACATGCTGAAAAATCACCTTTGAGGTATGTGGTTACTATGAGAGATCCTAGAAGGAAATGTAGTCATCATAGTATCTTAAGTAGAGGGTTTGGGACATATTTGGCAGCAGTGGTAGATGTTATTGTAAGTCTCATACTGTTTTGTCATTTTTGATCCTGTTGTTTGGATTCTTTACACTAGAAGGTGCAGCAGGGCTCTGGATCAATGAGATTTTTTTTGTGTGAAAGGGAAGCAGATGAGAGGACTGCGCCTTGCGGGGAACCACATAATTGCTTAGGTTGGAAAAGATCTTCAAGGTCATCAAGTCCAACCTCAAGGAAGGGAGAATAGGAAGCAGGGAGATTTGGAGTGGCCCTTCGTGTTTCATGCGATGTCTTTCATTCATGTTTCGTATTATTTCCAATGTCTCAGATCAGCTTACCTCTCCACAATACAGTTCTGTTGTGCAAGGAGACTTACCCTGGCCTTATGCTGATCTTCTGTACAATACTGAATTTTACTGAGTAGCAAAAGCCTTTCCCACTGATTTCTGAGGTTTGAAAAGTTTCCTTTCACACAGTGAAAGGAATCTGCTATGAACTAAGTGCTTTTGAAATTACTCTTCTTAGTTCATCCTCATTACCTATTATTCTTTCCCACATGAGCAGTGGTTACTGCAAATTACTGCCAAAGGCCTGCTTCTAGTTTAAAATGAATTATCGTGGCTACACTCATGTGGGTTCTATCTGTTATTAATTTCATATGATATCTGAGGGCTGTCAAGTGCCAGCAGGACTCATTCTGCTTGACATTGATTATTATTTAAATCTATCAGCTTTCAATTAAAAACAATAGCTCTTTAATCGAAATATAGAAAAGACTGAAAATGGGAAATACTTACAAGCGGAGAATTTTCTATGGGATACATTTGCCATTTTACTGCCCAGCTCTAGTTTCAATGCTGTGTAGACTCAGAAAAATTTCTGATAATGCAGCTGTGTATTTGTTGACACTACTCTCCACCTACTAACTGAAAAATACTGAGTTCCAGTTTTGCAAGGGAATGACTGAGGTGACCACACAGAGCCCTAAGATTTCTCAAGCCCTATAGGAAAAGGTCATCCTAAGATCTTACAGGATTCTTGCCATTCAGGCTCATTCTCATCAGATTTCTGCAACACCTTCTGATTCTCTGAGCATTTGTGGCTTTGTGGTATTGCCTTCAGCGGGACTGTAGTCTCTTCTGAGTTTCTTCTGTGTCCTCCCTTCATCTGTGAAAGAAACGGTATGTTCAGTGCTTTGTTCCAGGCTAGCTTTAGCCCTGCTTTTCAGCTAGTTTTGAAAAACTAGAGACTCCATTCTCAGTTGTGAATCCTTTTGATTTCAACATGCAGAACTACTTCTTTTACTGTAGGTTACAAAAAAAGAAGGGCAAAACAGAAATAATCTGAAACATCTTCCCGTGCTATTCCCCAGTCTGCCAGGCTGTCCTGCTTTGTTCTAACACCACACTAGAAGAGCATGGCAGTACTGGGCAGAATTGGGCCAAGAGGTGAACTTCCTTGTTCAGATGAGTCTCAGGCTGACGGGGACTTAAAGATAATGTTTGGATCTGACACAAAGTCAGGAACATTGTAGGTTGCAACTTACCTGTGAGAAGCCACCCTTCCTCATCTGGCAGTCTGCCAGCATCTGGTGAACATCCCGGGCTTCCCTCTGGGCAGAGGAAAAGAACAGTGAGAAATTAAAGCAGAATTTGGACCTTTACTCTTTTTTGGAATTTTATTTAGAATTACTTTACTTGACAAAAACGTGGATGATTGCAGGTGGAGATTGTGGGTACTGTGTAGCAGTGCTGGGCTCTATAGCCTGGAATGCTCTTTGTGTGGAAGTGCCATACTTTGTGCTTTGCAGACTGCTCTTTTGTCACAGATTTCCCTGGTGAGCCCAGTAAAGCAGGCAGGAACATTCTGCATTTTCAGAGCTGATGCTAAGCAGCAGTTCCTCTCTCCTTTTCATTCTCCCCACAGGTGGAGCACAAGACTCTTGGGAATGCTTTACCCTTGGAGATAAGCACCAGCAAAGCATTCCCAGAGAGAATCTTCTTTGTGCCCAGGACTTGAGGTACAGCTCAGTCTAACCTCCTGCATATGCAAGAGGCTGGACTATGGGAGTTCAGTGCAGAAGGAGTAATGTGACTTCTATGTAAACAGATTTGCCAGTTTTCTCAGACAAAAATAGTTCTTTTTCATCATATTAAATCTAATGTGCCACAGGAGAAAGAGTCAAGGTTGTCAGGAATCATCCCCAGTCTGCCTATATTTGCTAAGTGACACTCTCAAGTGGTCCCAGGGAGCAGACATCTTCCCTTCTTGCTCTCTCTGTAAATCAAGCCCTAGCAGAACTTGCTTCCTAGAGCTTTACCTACCTTTGCTCAGTTGCTGCTGTGGCTGACTACTGTAGACCACTGCTTGTCAGACTGACCCAACTAGCTGTATGTCTTGTATTTTCTCTTTCCTAAAGCCAGTCTGGCTATGCTAGCAGCTGAGACCTGTCTTTTAGGAAAAGATGAGGCTTGTCTTTGAGCAAACACCCACTCACCTCCCTGTTTGACACAGACTGCCTCCCACAGTACAATGAGTAATAAGTTAGCTGTACTACACTGCTTACCAAGGACATGCTTTGCTTTCTCCTTCACCTGTTGGGCTAATATTTAATATGAACCTGGCTTTCCGATTTCTATCTCCTAAACAAAGAACTAAGAATTTAAAGCTTGAGTGAAGCAGCTTAGATCAACCCCCATAGCCCCTGCAGCAAAGCACAATGCTCAGAGCCCTCAGGTACAGAAAAAGCAATGTAACAAGGAAGGTGAAGAAAGCTCCCCTTCATCTCCACACTTACAAAATGCAACGTTTGGATCTGCAGTCTGTATCCTCCCTTTGACTTGCAAAAACATCAGAAATCTGGGAAAATCACTTACTTATAATACAGTAATAGAAAACAAAAAGTAAAATATGCAAAACCCCTCTGTTTCCATTTGCAAAAGTTTGAAAGAGTTTTATATTTTTGGTAGTGGGATTTTTAGTTGGCTGGTGTTGGGGTTTTAATTTTGACTAAGTTTTCTTTAAAAAAGGGAGGGGGGAAAGAAAAAATCTCCCACAGTTGCTCAACTTCAGCAAACAGTGCTGAGAAAAACCTTGTGTGATTCAGAACCATCTGATAAAGGAGACAGCCACTCAGCCACCAAATTCCCTTCAGTATATTGACAGCAGTGGGAGAGGCATTTGGCCCAAACCCAGCTTCAGTTATAATGTTTTTATGCTGAAATATGGCATGGCTGTGTAATAGAGGAATATACACTCATACAAGTTAGTGGTGAAAGGTGGAATGAAAACTCACGGAATGCGATTGGTCTTCTCCCATTGAATTGGCAGGATTTCTCTGTTCAACTTTGATTGCATTGGTTGCTAATTTAATTTTTTTTTTAATCTCAGTTCTCTGTAAATGGCTTTTATAGCTAGTTAAACAGTACAAATATATTTATTACTGCAGAAAAATATTTCTGTAATGAAACACCTCAGTAAAGATGAGATGCTGTCACTGTGGATACTGCATTTGGAGTTGTCCTATGCTGTCAAGTTTATAAACTATAATCTTTTCTAGAAGACAAAAAGAAAAAAAAGACGACAAGAGAGGGAACTTGAGGATATGTATGTTAGAGAATACTGATAAAACTACACTCATCTCATCTTCTGTAAAAAAATAGATGATTTATCTGAGGGCCATCCTGGGATGGGCACCCTGGTCTTCTCTGAAAAGCAGTCCAAACTGACACAGAGCAGGAAAGAAAGTACTGTGACTCTTCACTTTATGGAGAATGGAAGCAAAGGAATGGAGAGTAACTAGTGGTGCAGAGCAGATCTGTCCCAGCTAACGATAGCATTTAGACCTTCTAAGTCCTAAGGAAGGATGTAGAAGTGTGGCTTGTCCTGAAAGTACAGAAGAAAAACCTTAATAGTCAGCTGGCTTTTCTCTCAGATTTCTATTTATAGCAACCAGGATTTGCTGCACTTGCTAGATCTCAAAGCAAATGATTATGATTAGCGTGGAAAGAAGGGGAAAACTACCTTTTTGAGCTCCTGGCTTTTCCCAATTGTACCGGCAGTGTTTTTTCTTGCCTCTTCTTTCTGTTCCTCTACAGTGTTTTTATTGTTTCCCTGAACTTCTGTCTCACACAGGACTTCTGGCTGGGGTTGCAGAGAGTGTGTTACAGCACGGTCTGTCTCTCTGAAACACAAGGGACAGTTCTTAGGAATACCTTAGGAATACCAGGGAGAGACTCTCTGCTCTCTGAAATTACACATGAAATTACACAGGAAATTACACATGAGCAAAGTAGTGCTGTGATGGAGCAGTGTGCCTGCATGCAGCTGTCATATCTCCAAATCGAGTAGATGGAATAATTAAATTAGTTACTCATTGTGAGTAACTGTTGGCCTGCTGTAGGCAGGCAGGCACCTGTTGGTGAATCAGTGCAATCCAAACACGTGGCCTGCTGCAGAAACAGTTACCATTTCCTGTGATATGCTGAAGTTACTGCACAGCAGGGATATCCTGGGAGACTGAGGAGCTGGGGCAGGCCCCAAGCTGGAGCTGATCTCTGCTGGTATTATGTGCAGAAAGCCTGTGCCTTTAGTCTACAAGCAGAGTGTGACAGTGACGACTGCGCCCAACCCAGCCCCAGGGTTTAAATCAAAGGAATGAAAAGAGGTTTTATAAAGAGATTAGTGTTACTCTCTGTGGCAATGCTGGACTTGTCTGCTTGCTTCCTTGTGAGGAGAAAAATTTACAGACCAGAGGAGAGAGTCCCCAAAAAAGAGCCTAGCCTCCACTTTCTAATAATGTCTTTTCCTCCCTGTCCACCCCCCAAGTCCTCCAAGTGAAGGGTGCTTACCTGGTCTCCTTGCCTTGTTCATTTGCTAACCGCTTTGCCCTTTGTGCCTGGATCTCTTCACAGATGGCTGCATACGATTTATCTGAAGGATGCTCACCCATCACCCACACCCAGACATCGTTGTCAGCACCTAGCTTCCATTGTACAGACTTCGTGCTGGCTGGAAAAGAAGTGGCTTTTTTGAAAACAGTTTGCTCAGCAGCTGTCTGCAGGATCTGTATCCCTTGGCTGCTGCTGTTGGCATTACCCTTCCAAAAGCAGCGGTACATGGGAAAAGATCAGTTGGGACACAGGATGCACCTCCCTTTTCATTTCATGGTACTGCAGACAGGTCAGTGAAGGAGACATTTCTGATTTTAGAGACAAGGGATATCACTGTTTCTTTTCTTTCTCCACTTCCTTACCACTGCCCTCCCCAACCCCCTGATACAGAGACCGGTGAGGGGTGAGCTGTCTGCAAACAGAGCAGGTGGGAAAGAGCTGAGAGAATAGTGCTGCAGTCCTAGAAGAGAGCATGCCATGTAATCCTAACAAAGACATGGGGTCTTCAGGTCTGGTGCCTCAGCCCGGGTAAAAGCACTCAAACTCCTCTATGTTGCTGACACCCTAGGAGAAGTAGATTCAGAGACCCCCACTGAATGGGGGATGAGATGAATCTCTTGCTCTGGGGAGCAAGTAAGCCACGTCTTCTCAGGAAGGGGATTTTAGGAACTTGGCTAAGGAAAGAACACCAGAGCCAGAGAATAAAACCATTGTGTGCCAGACCAGAACTACCCCATCAGAGGTGGGCTTAATTACAGTTTGGAAATGCAATTATGATGTGTCCTGGGGAGAAGAAATTGCTCCAGGGGGCATATTACCTCCCTTTTCTAGGGTGCAGCGGACTTGGTCGGATCTGGGCCAGAGCAGGAAGCTCTTACCTTTTTTTGGCAGTGGCTTCTTTCCTGAAACCTTGTCTGCAGCAGCTTCTCTTTCTTTCCACCGTCTGATCTGCTCCTGCCTCATCTTGTAGAAGAGGATCTGCTTCTGCTCCTCGCTGAGTTCTGCTAGCAGGTCAGGATCAATGTACATCTCCGATAATATCTGCTTCAGCATGGCTGTGGGTTTCAGTTACACACGTTGGTGGCAATGATCTCCCGGGATCCGGTTCTCTTCCTGGCTTGAACGTGCCTGTACTGACAAGAAAGACTCCCTTCCCTCCTGAGCCCGGAGCAGGAATGCAGGCGTGCCAGGGTAATTATACTTCTATCTTTTTTTTAAGCTCAGACTTCCTGCACAGACCAAAAAAGTAAATAAGTAGCTTAAAACCTGCTATTAGAATTTCTCGAAATAACAGGTGAGCTCAGCTCAGACACAGCCCCCGCATGTTCTGCAGGGACAGCTGGCCAGAAGTGGGGGAAGTTCTGTAAAGGGGAGTTTTTGTTTATATACCTCGATAAACCCAGCTGATAGACTATCAAAACAGAGAGAGCTCTGCCTGTTACAGTCATCAGGGGTGTGGCTTGTCCGTGCCTGAGCAAACATTCCTGCTGGGCTGAGAATCAATGAACCCGCGAGTACACGGCTCCTCCTTTGAAAAGGAAAGCTTTGAGATGGGGCGGTGTGATGTTAACAAGTCTGGCCAGCCTCATTTTACCAAGGAAAGACTGGGATGGCTTTAGGCACTGCATTTGAGGTAGGAGCAGGAGTTGCCTGGTTGGTATTTTGGGGGTGCTCCCATCCTTCAAAGACAACATCACGGTAAGGCAAGGGAGTGCAAGCAGCACAGCTGGTTTCTTCAAAGCCAAATGACTTAACTTGCAGCAGCTCATGAGCTTGAGACAGCTCCTTGTCTGACATTTTCTTGCTGAGGCACCTTTCCCATGTGGTGAGCCTGACACAGCACATCCTCATCTGACAGGGAGAAGCAGTGCTCCTATTCTTGCCCAGGATGCCTGGTCACATGTACAGTCTGGTGCATGCAATGTACTTAACACCTACATAGCTATGCTTTGTGCCCAAATATTTCAAATATTTACAATCACAACAGAGGTCTTTTTAATTTTTTTTTCTGGACAAGTTGTGAGAGGTCTTACAGGAGCACTATTGGCTGTGAAGTAGAGAAATAAAAATGTGGACTAAAGACCTTGAAACTAACTATTTTCTATATCTTATCTGGATAATCTCAGGGGTACCAGGAGGCTGGTTGACATCATGTGCAGTGACACTGTTGCACAACTCTGGTATTGCTGTGGGAGAAGGAGGAAAAGAAAAACGCAGCAGAATTATTCATGTTCTTCTACACAAATGCTGGGAGTCTCAGGAACAAGCACTGAGGATGTAGCACAGTAGGTAGGAGGAAGGAGATTGATGGGGCAGTAATTTAGAAGTACAAAGAACAGAATGACTTATACCAGGGTGAAGCAGCACTATGTATTAAATCTGGGAATCAAATAAATTAAGGGGACTAGATCCCTAGAGACCTCTATTTGGGGCTGACTCAGGAAAATAAAAGGTGCTGGGAACACCTTCAGCTTCAGAGCATGACTGCTTGCAATCTGATTTTATTTTATTTTTTTAATTGAAGGAATAAAAGAATAGAGAAGGAGGTGGCACAGAAACATAATACTGCAGTTTTCCAAAGGAGCATGAGTGCAGTGCATTTAAATAGTTGAAATGGGGCAGCAGAACAATAGCTTTTATAAAGTCCAGCTGGAAGGATGGTATTTGCTGTATTTGTTCTTGTGTAGTAGTGTTCTACCTGTTCCCATCTTACCCCCATGCCAGCATCAAGCAAGCTTTTGCGGCCAATCAGTGGGAATTGTTCCAGATCAGCAGCTAAAGAAAGGAACTTGGGCTGTCCAAGAGACATAGACACAACAGCTGTAGAGAAGGAATAGTTTTTATGGGGAGGGTATTGGCAAGCAGTCCCTGATCCCTCAGGAAAACCTGAAGAGTGTTTAACTGTAAAACTGAGGCACTGCTGCTGAAGCTTCGCTGCCTCCTGCTCTTTAGCAGTATCCGGAAGAGAAGGTTTTTGCAAACAGATCAGCGTCAGAAAGTACCCTTAGTCAGAAGTGGAACCCTTAAGCTTTCAGTTTTGGTTTGTTTGTTTTTAAAAGACCATTTCAGCTAAGTACAATTTAGAGTGTGCAAAGTTTGGGGTTTTGATAAAGTTCTGTCTTCAGAGGGTACTTGGTGTTGCTCTGATTTTAGATAACGTGACAGTTCTTCTGTGCAAGTCCAAGGTGCTTTTTTTGTTTGGAGCAATGGCTACTGTTGGGTCCTTCATGGATTGGAAAGAGTACCTGGAGCAGATAGTATCTTTGAGCTCGGTGACTGGGCCAACAGAAGTTAATCACTATGTTTGAAATTGAACAGGCTTTTAATGTAACAGTCTTGTTGCATGAAGGGAGGTAAGATGCTTTTATTGCCTTCAGGTAATCATTTGCGGTTTGTGTGGGCCAAATGCTGAATGGTTTGCTAAATAGAGGGCATTCAATATCATACCCCGAGGAGCTGGTAAGGTCTCCCAGCAGCTCTGTTTTTTGGCTCTGAGTCAGCAGAATTGCTCTTCCGTGGAAACTATTCAGTGAAAGCTTGGTGCTTGCGGAAGAGGATGACCAGAAATCATCCCATAAAGATGTCCTTGTTATGACTGAGCGGGGGCTGTGTGTATGTGTGGCTGGCAGGAGTGACTGGAACTGACTGGAAGATTCCCCAGCTGGCTGCTGCCCTTGCAGCAACAGGAAACTTGAATTCACGTCATTTGTGTTTGCCCTTCTCACCACTTGGCCGCACAGGAGGTATTTGACTGGGGTCAGTACAGTTTGTATTGCAGAGTTAAAATCTGCAGGGAGCAAAGCTGCAGAGGTGGTGGAGTTTCCTTCTCTCCCAGTACTGCCCCCTGGTTCTTCAGGTGACCTTCCTCACTCTGGTAGTCTCCCTTTCAAGGCTCACTGTGTTCTATGTCAAACCTGCTTCCCTGCCTGACTGGGTTGTCTCCCCAGAGCATTTGTGAGACAGCCCCTCACTCATAATTGCCAGTTTATGATACCTTTTTTTTTTTTTTTTCCTATGAGGCTTGGACAGATTGATGACGAGTTCAGATGTTTGGCACCACCCATGTCAAGAGAAAGTATTTTTCCCCTCTACTGCTACAAAGTGTGCCTGAGGATAACCTGGAAATTCTCTCTTGTGCAGCCTGCTTGCAACTGTATCTCACCTTGACTCACATGCTGAACTGCCATTGAAAGTAGTGGAAACCTTTGCTGTTCAAGGGAAATATACAACCCTTAAAAAACCAAGGTCACGCAGCTCATAAACAGCCTGCTGGGAAGCCATCTCTTCTCTGTGCTCCTGTAAATCATCTACCATTAATAGGGGAAATCTAAGTATATGAACATGCATAAATATGCAGGCACTTAAGGAAAGGCTGATATGTGTTCCAGCTTACAGATCACACACCCCGTGCAACAGGCTCATGGGACACCCCCTTGTGACAAACCTCATCCTGCTGCTCACTACGGCTGCTGTCAGCAGAGGGAAAGGTTCTCTACAAAAAGCAACAGGAAATCATACATAGGCACACATTCGACATTATTCATATCAATGAACAGATAGGAGGGCATAAGAAGAAATAGTGGGCATCTTGAATAGTGGTCCTGATTTTCTGGGAGGCAGCTTCTTCAAATTGCAGTAGAGATACGATGTGCATCTCTACTGAAAATGTGGCAGGAACATTAAATTAAAAGTGACCCAAGAAATTCAGACGCTGGGGGAGAAGAAAAAAACTGCAGGAAAAGTTGTCACTGCTGGTTGTTTTGTTATGTTTTGTTTTTGTTACTTTATGTCAAATGCCACTTACATATCTCCTGCCCCTCCTCACACGAAGAGTTTGGGGATGGTAAAAAGATATGATAATCTCAAGAATCATTATCCAGTTGAAGGTTAACTTCTAATGCAAGACCTGACAAGGTCAAATACTCTTGTGAAGCACATCAGGAAACGCTTCACACGACTTCACTTGATAGGGCAAATAGTTGAAATGCTTTATGCATGAAAAGGGCTTTTTTGTCTCTGTTGTTGTTGCCTTAGCTTTTTCGAAACACCAAAGCAGTGATCTGACACCGGAAGATGTGAATTAGTGTATCCGAGCCCTCACCGTGGCTTTGAAGACATTAAAAAGCCAGATGAAAAGCTGAGAAGTACAAGACCGTTGTTTCCTACCTTTGCTTCAAGAAGAGGTAAAGCTAGGGAAGAGGCAATGGCTTTAAGCTAAGAGAGGGGGAATTTAGGATGGACATTAGTAGGAGTATTTTTACTCAGGGCAGTGAGGCAGCGGCAAAGCTGCACAGAGGCGGTGGTGCCCCATCCCCGGAGGCCCTCAAAGCCAGGCTGGACGGGATCCTGGGCAACCCGATCTCGTGGGCGGCAACCCTGCCCGTGGCAGACGGTTGGAGCTGGATGAGCTTTAAGGTGCCTTCCATCCCACGCCGTTCTGCGTACAGCCTTTCCCCAGCTGTCGGCAGTACGCGTGCACCAGCCGCGTTTCCGGAGCAAAACCAGCTTCCCGCAGCCGGCAAACGGTGCCTCCGCCGGAGCGCCGAGGCGGCGCCGGGCAGAGGAAGCCCCGCCCCGGGGCGGGCACACGGAGCAGCGGTGACCCCGCGGCCGGGCGCTCGTCTCCGCCCGCGGGCGTTGCGGCGGGTGGCGGCCGTTGCCCCGGTGACGGTGGCCCTTCGGCCCGGGCTCGTCGCCCTCCGGCTGCTGCCTGGTCGAGCTCCTCCCGCAGGTGATGGAGAAGTACCAGGTGCTGGGCCTCATCGGGGAGGGCAGCTACGGGGTGGTGAGCAGGTGCAGGAACAAGGAGAGCGGGCAGGTGGTGGCTGTCAAAAAGTTCCTGGAGAGCGAGGACAACGCGGCAGTGAGGAAGATCGCCGTGCGGGAGATCAAGCTGCTGAAGGTGAGGGGAGGCTGCGCTTCGGTCGGGGAGGGCGGATCCGTCTGGGACTGCTTTGTGTCGGTGATCCTGTAACGACTGAATCCCGAATCGAGGAGGCAAACGTCTCCTCCGGGCAGAACGTACGACCTGTGTCTGTGATCCCAGCGTTGGTGTGATGGAGGTGCTTCGAACCTTCCCGTAGCGGACCGGCAGGCTCTGGGGGAGCGCTGCCTGCTGAGACTGCTGCGGCGTCCTTCACAGCGCGGGGCTGAGGGGAAGGTGCAGGGCGAGCGTGAATTTCACACGCTCGGTCGGTTTTGAAAGCCGTTTTAAAAGGGTCACGCTGTGCATCAGCACAAATAACAAAGCCCAAACCAAGGGAGACTTGATCCGTTTCCATCTGCGTTCCCACAGGCAGCCAAGCTGTGGTAGCTTCTCTTAGCCTGCAGCTGCAGCTTTGCACAGCTGCTGTCCCTCTGGCTAAGTGCTGCTGGCCCAGCTTGGTTAGAACTACACTTACGTGCCCCAAATTCAGTAGGTAAAGGCACAAGGAAATGAGCTACAAGGTCTCCGTTTGCTCCTGGTGAGGACTCTGCCTTGTGCACTACAGCAGCACCTTGCTGCTGTTGATTATGTTGAGCTTATAAAACCTGCAGGTAAGCACTGACCTGACCGGCTGACAGCGGGCCTAAGCAGACTGGATCCCAGCACCGTTTGCTAGTAGCGATATGCTGGTTTGCTATGGCACTTTCCTAGCAGGCTTGAACTACCTGCGAGTGGCTGGGGGAGGGTGAGCTCCATGCTCACTGAAACTTATGGGTCAGTGGTTAGGCTGCAGCCAGCTGGCATTATGGCTCCTGCTGTGAGTGTGTGATTTGTCTGTCATCAGCTCTGGGTGTTCTGTGCTCACCTACATGTCCAGTCATGCTTCTGCTTGGTGGCTTCTTGTCAGTGGCACTACATGGTGGCAAGCTGTACAGTCTATTGTGTGGGTTAGTTCATTAAGGGTTCTTTGCAGGCTGAAGATACTCTGGAAGAATATCTGGGAGCTTCAGGCAGACAAGGCCTTTGTGTGTCTGCTCTTCAGTGCTTTGTCAGGTGGTCTCCCTGCTCTCTCTCTTGGCTCTGTTTTTTAAAGGAGACTTTTGCATCTTCCTGTTGCTTCTCTGCAAGATTTTTTTGCCATGTTTTTTTAACGAGCTTCTTCTTGAGATAAGGGTGCAGTTTTGGATTCTGTGCCAGGACACACATCCATGCTTCTACTTACTTTTTTGACCCCTTTCAGCCTTGTATTCTCCACTGTAATCTCTAGCAGCAGCAGCAGCATTTTTCTTCTTCCTTGAGCTCCCGTGGTGATATGTACAGTGCTGCCATACAGAGCATACAGACATTCCTTGGTGTCTTAAAGTGTTGTGTGCAGCGTGTATCTGCCTCTGTGCACATATGTCTGTCCATGGGCACACGTGAAAGTTTTAGGTGTTGATCTGTCTCCTGAAGAAGCAAAGGAGAGTGTAGTTGGGGTGTTTCTGGCCTTTCCTCAGCTGTTGGGGTGGCAGCGTGTGCCTCCTCCCCTGCAATTGGCTTCCACAAGCTGCTCTAACCAAGTCTATCAGACTGTATTCCCTGTGTTAGGCAGGGAAAAAATGGGGGCACTACAAGAGCTGCAGACACTTGGGGTTAATAGGAGGGTATGTTCAGAAGCTCAATGCAGCCAGCAGCTATAAGCACCGTTCCCTCAGACACATTTAAAGCCAGTCTGCATGTGCCTGGATTATACATGATCTGCTTGCAAGCCTTGCTTAGTTACTGAGTCAGAGCACGTACCACCTCCCAGGTGCGTTGGAAATTAACTTGTTTTTCTAGGTAAATGGAAATCTAGCAAGGGGAACGTTTCATGTTTAGCTCAACAAATGGCAAGGATAGCTACCTAGGGATTCAATCTTCTCATAGCTGGTTTACTTGTGTGTTCCTTGTGAATCCCCTTTTTTCATTTTTCCTCTCCATTCCAGTATTTGGGCAGTTGGAAGCTCACTCAGGCAGAGGTACCAAGCTGTGAGGTTTGAACTGTAATGAGCAAATTCTGGTGTTGTTCAGACCAAGAAGTTAAGAAAATACTGTGTCTTTCTCTCACATTTCTAATTGATCATCTTCATTTTTCAAACCTGAGAAATCAGTCTCTGAGCCTTCTGCCCACCAGCTTTCTGCTGCAGTCTGGCTGCACTTCTCTGTCGGCAGAGCACTTACCATACAAGTCCCCATGCTCTGCAATCTTATTGTGTCTTGCTTGGACACAATCCCTGAGGCACGGTTCTGCAGCCTCATGTGACAGTGGTATTTCCCTGCTAGGCTCCAAGCTGATAAATAACTCCATATTGTAGCGAGGGCTGTTTCGGTGTTACAATTGTGTAACAGACTGGAGATGGAATTTGGCCTGGTCAAAATGAGGTAACAGAATAACTGGAAAACAGAGCTGCTTTATTTTCTCTTTAGAATCTTTTTCTCATTTCCATCTTTTCCCTTCTGCATAACAATATATACACATTCTTAAAAATCCTTTTGAAATAACATCTTCGAATCTTTGGCTTGTTTTTTAATCAGAATCCACTAGGCACAGTTTAACAGATCTTCAATTGTTAACTGAATGCTTGAGGAATGCTAAACTTGTCTTTTATCCATTCAATGTACTTGTATTCTGGCACATGCTGCTGCAATGTGCACAAGCTGACAGTGCCGACAGAAATGCTGTGGGTATTGTGGGAACTTAAGAGAAAAGCCTTTGAGTAGCTCTCTTAGAAAAATTAAGATAAAGAGGTTCTAAGTGGTGATGAACTGGCAGCTAAGTAGAACAGGCAGCTGCTTTTGTTTTTCACTGAAATGAGAATGTAAGAGATTGTAGAAACAAGGAGCTAGATAAGAAAGTAAAAGAGAAGAGCAAAGCTTCTTGGAATAATGGGATAAAAATGAATTTGTGCTGAGTTATTGAGACAAGCAAACATTTTTATAAAATAAATGGTTGACCACTGTATCTGCAATTCTTTGGATGCTTTGAAATGTATCGAGGAGGCAGCTAGAGTTGCATTATGCTCTGCTCTGAGAGAAGCGGCAGCGTAGTGCAGGGTTATGTGGTTACCTTCAGGAGAACATCCTGTGAAGAAAGCTGAGACACAGATACAGCCCAGTGCGAAAGGAGCAAGCTGTGTTTATTACTTTTTGTAAGTGAAATGTCCTATCTGGTACTTTATTTCTATGGACCGAAAAAAGGTATGTGCATATGTGAGGTGGTGGAAATCTTCCAAAAAAAAAAAAAAAAAAAAAAAAGGGAAGAGTTATGGAACGATCAGTGAACTAATTTTAAGAACAAATGACTGTGGGTGTTAGGACAAGAAGAGCATTCAGCACTGGCTAGACTGGCTAGGCATCTGGTCTTAGTTTACCCATTAAATGCTTTCATTCTCTCACAAAATATTTCCTGTTTCATAACAGCAACTCAGGCATGAGAATCTTGTGAGCCTGCTGGAAGTGTATAAAAAGAAGAAACGGTGGTATCTGGTGTTTGAATTTGTGGATCACACGGTGCTTGATGATCTTGAGGCATTTCCAAATGGACTAGACTACAGCAGAGTTCGGAAATACTTATTTCAAATTTTGAGAGGAATAGCATTTTGTCACAGCCACAACGTAAGTATGCCTGAGAAACCAGCTCTGCAGTTAACCTCGAATGGATAGGTGCAGGGGTGTGCATTTGTGACACTTAGTAAAACTTAGAGAAATAAACCTTTGACTGGAATATGGAAGTAGAGCAGAAGGGCCTGACTGAGTTTCATACAAAATGTCAGAGCCCGGTGCCAGTTCATGCATTGGTCTGTCTGATTGCTGAGAGCTCTTCTGAGGGAGGATGCAGAAGTCCAAGGAATCAAATCACCTCACCAACTCTCTTCTGACAGAGGGAGATGGTTTCTCTTTCAAAAGCTTGTTTCTGATAGTGTCTGTGTAAATATATGGGCTTGCCTTTTAGTCATGACCATGTAACTATCTGTATGTATTTTTTTTGTGTGTTGGGGAAACTGTCTTTCAAGTATTCCAAAAATACTCTTCACATTTAATTGCAGGATGTGCTTGTTGCCCTTGCAACACTTAAAGCTTTTAAAATTCGTGATCAGGGCCAGTTTTAAACTATAATAAATTATTTGTAAAATACCTATGGTAAATACATGCAGTGAAATTCATAAAATTAACACCCATGTCAAAAACTGAAGTTTTTGTGCCCTTGGGTTGGCACTTTGTCCTCGGCTGTGTGCACATAGCTGTGTTATGTAGACTTTATGTATTTTCCATGCCTACAAAAATTTGATTATTTTACCTGAATGTGAGAAAGCTACTATTTCTGGTGGGCTGGTCAGTTTCCTGTGGGGAAATTACTTGACTTGCTTTTTCTCTGTGCAGATAATACATCGGGATATTAAGCCAGAGAACATACTGGTCTCCCAGTCAGGAGTGATAAAACTCTGTGATTTTGGTTTTGCTCGTACATTGGCAGCTTCTGGGGAAGCTTATACAGACTATGTGGCAACTCGATGGTACAGAGCTCCAGAGCTGCTGGTGGGAGACACGAAATATGGCAGGTAGGAGACCAGTCAGGCTGCAGAAGGGTTTGGGGTTTGTGCAGGTACTCTGTTTTTTGAGGAACTTGTGCTTGTTAAACCGGTTAAAGCAATACTATTAATCATTCCTTGGTTAATTATTTGTGAGGGTTTGAGCCTTCCTCTTCTATCTGTCTCTGTGTAGCTTTGTGAAGGCTTAAGCCTTCCTCTTCTCTCTGTCTGTGGAGCTAACTGTGGCCAGTGCTAGGCTTTTCTGGCTCAGAAGAGCAGAAAGGAAGACTGAGCCATCAGCATCCCTAGTCTGTTGTCTACAGGAGCTTTTTGGTTGCCAGTGCTAGTACTGGCGGAGGCTATTTTCCCCCCTGAGCAACTGGTCCTGGTTTGGAGGCAGAGAAATCACTCCAGACATGCTGAGAAAAATATTTCAGGAAGGAGGAGGTGTGATGCATGAGTTTTTCTTACTGGGATCTCTAGTGCTGCAAAAGCGCATCAGAAATTGAACTGCCATTTACAGGTCTGTACATCCCTGTATGCTTATAAATGTCCTGTGTTACCTAAAGTCCATTTTTAGTAAATGCTTCAGAAGAGCAGGTGTCTGCAGAAAGAAAAGTTTTGTATTCTCCAAAGGGCAAGATTTTTCTAATGTATTACTTTGCATTGGAATTTTGAAAGCATTGGTGTTTAGGACCGAATTTCAGGTTGGTCAAACTTTTGCCTTCTTCAAGAGCTGAATCCTTGGTATTCATAGAGCATGTGCAAGCTTGGATAACAGCTGTCTTGCTGTTTCTGGGGTCAGAGCTGCCCTCAGGGCTTCTAACTTGCTGGATGCTGGCCCATCTCAGCCTTTAGCTGAGAGTGAAAAATAAAGCTGTGCTGATCTGGGATGTTTTTCTTCCAGGGCTGTGGATGTGTGGGCTATTGGCTGTCTGGTAATAGAAATGCTCACAGGAGAGCCCCTGTTCCCTGGAGATTCAGACATTGACCAGCTCTACCATATCACCAAGTGCCTGGGTGAGAACAGCCTGTCAGACTCTCAGTGCCTATTTGCTAATGAAGGGGTTGAATAAGTCTTGATGGGGGAGGGGGAGAAAGGTGTGAAGAGGAAGATGTGTGCTGAGCTGTTTCTGAGAGCATGATTTCTTTGTGCCTTTTACAAAGGGGGAGAGCTAGGAGTTTTGTGACCATGCAGTCCATTCATGATTCTTGAGTGGAAAGAATGACCCAGATTATAGCCCTTATAGTTCTATTAACTCGGTATTTCATCCTCTCGAACATTCTCAGGATGGCATTTCTTCCATTTGGTTGCTTTGGCTGTGTGATTCCAGGTAATTTAATTCCAAGACACCAAGAGTTATTCTGTAAAAATCCCCTTTTTGCTGGCATGAGGTTGCCTGAAGTGAAAGAGGCTGAATCTCTGGACAGACGATATCCTAAACTCTCTGCTTCAGTGCTAGATTTAGCCAAGGTAAGTAAGAGATAATTTTGGAAGTTCCATGGAGAGGTGAGAGGTTCTCCTTAGAATTTAATGCCTTTGGCAGATACTTGTCACTTGCCCTGGGGAATGGATTGCAGCCTGCAAGAAGAGCTAGTGTTGTTAGGCTGGCTTAACAACTATCTATGCAATACTTGGTTTGGTAGTTAGGTGAGAACAGCTACTCTCCTGGGTAATGGGCAAGACTGAGGTCATCATTTCCAGCTCCACAGGGGCTGCTGTACTTGCTCTGAGGAGGACTTGAAGCACGTTGTAGGTAATATGTGGACCCTTACTGTTTCCTTGCTAGCACAGCTGTGTGATACAGTGTTTTCTGCCAACCTTCTCTCCACCTCCTGGTGGAGGCACTGCAAGCAGATGAGATGGCATCCAGACATGCAGTTGTAAGGGACCTAGGAAACATACAACTCTCTAACTGATTCTGAAGAATTTTTCTGCTTTCAGATAGCAGTCTGGAACACTGATATGCTGGGTAACTAAAATTACCTATAAGACACTTGAATGTATTTGAAATGCCCTGTCTTCAAACCAGCTTCTAAAGCCTTAGCCAAACAAATAGAATTGAAAACGAGTGGTTTACCTGGAGGTGGATTATTTGTGTGGCAGGTAGGCAATCTGTCTTTGTAAGCCTTAGTGATTTGAGTAGATGTAGCCAGCAAATATTAAACATTTTTTGTGGAAAAAGGGTGTTGGGACCATCTCTGTGTAGCAGGCTATAGAAGTGGGAGCTTTGCAGCTATTTCTCTTGGTATCATCTGGAAATGCTAAAGCCTTAGTTTCATTTCTGCCTTCTACTGTTTACGTTGGTTTAACAGAAGTGTTTGCAGATTGACCCAGACAAAAGACCATCCTGTGCTGAACTCTTGCAGAGCGACTTCTTTAACAAGGATGGATTTGCTGAAAGGTGAATGGTACATTTCTTACTCAGAACAAGACAAGATTAAAAGGAAGTTAAGCAGTTGAGCTTAAAAATTGCATACTGAGTTTGCAAAGCAGGTGGTTGCTGAATGTCTTAGCTGTTTTGGTTTGAGCCTTCCCAAAAATGGAGGGAACAGTTAAATGGGAACACACTGCAGTAGCATGTTTACCACATTACATTCTCATGACATGAATTCATCAGCGTGTGCCTCATTTTACAGCATATTGAGTAGTATTATCTTACACTGTATTCAGTGTGTGCATTTACATCAGACTGGGATACAACCACCTTTATTGCTGTAAGAACAAAAGTGTGCATATGTAAGATTTTATTTTACTTTATTGGATTCTCATTACAGAAAAATACATGTTTGTTTCATTATTTGGAAGGTTATAGCAGCCTGGGCTGAGCACTGATACTGAGACTAACAGAAGCCTTTTCTTTTTTTCTTTCCCCACTATGATATGTTAATTAGATTTGCTCAGGAGCTTAAATTAAGGATCCACAAAGAAGCCAAGGACCATCAATTAAAAAAAAAATCAAAAATCAGCCGAGGAGATAAAGATGATGCTGTAGAAGAAAGAAAGATGCTTGGTGTACAGGTTAGTCGATTTTTTTGTTTTGTTTTGTTTTTTGCTTTCCAAACTTGTATTTTCTATATCTCTTAAAATGAATAAGTATGTGATATAGTTTAATTGCTTAGCAAAAATATAAACACAATTTTACATTAAAAAAACAAAAAAAACTGGATAAAAGATGTGCCAGAGTAGCTCAGCTCTCTGTGAGTTTAAGCAGTTCATGAGACCTGTACCCTTCAACTCTGATATTCACTGCAGTACAACAAGCAGGCTGGTATGTAGATTTTCTATGCCTTTGATTCTAGCAGGCTTCTACAAGTTGCTGATTCCAACTGGCTGGTACTAGTTGCTCTGGTGCCTGGCTGGACAGTCTGCAAGTGGCTATTTGAGCTTTCCTTGTCAATAAAGCACATGATAATGCAGTTACTTGCAAATAGATAACTGTAAGGAAAACCAGTTAGGACGTGTAAATTACGTCAACTGAGCAAAACATGGTTCTGTGCAGCTGCTCACCTGTGTTGAAGTTCTGTCTCCAAAACTGCAAATTTTGCTTTCAACCAGATGTGAAGCCTCTAGCCTTCACAGTTACACTGAGGTGACACTGGGCTTGGTTTTTATTTCTTTAGAAGTGACACATGATATAGCTGTTCTTCCTCCATCATTTCCAATTCATTCCAGGGTGACTTATTTACAGAGGGTGCTGGATCCCTGACAAGTTTCCTCCTTTCAACTTTAATGGAAGACAGGTTTTCTATCACACTACTTAAACTAACTCCATCTCCATCAGATCCTTGCAGAGTTGTGCAGACTTAGGCTTTCAATTTTTTTCCTCCAGGTGCAGCTCTAAGTAATTTTTTTAAATGTAACTGTAAAAGAAATATGACACTCATCTTCCCAAACAGGATTTCAACGCTGACCCAAGGAGCAGAGATGAAAAGATGTTCAAAGTGAAGTGTTCTAAAGCTGATGGAGAGAAAGCAGAGCGATCTTCCGACCTGAGCTCCCTCTATGACAGTGCAATCAACCCATTCAAAATATGCTCTCAAACCAACCTGAAAGATTCCAGTAGCAACCCGGACTACATCAAGAATGCAGGCATCATTATTCCTCCCATTAACCAGAATGTTTCTCCCACTGTGTCTGCGGTGGTGCCTGTGCCTAGGAACTGTAACTACAGGTATAAGAGCAGAGCTATAAAAATTTGTTTCTTTTGATCTTGTTGCTGAGGAAGAGTAATGTGCTGAGGGATCTGCAGGGTGGTGATGTGGGTTTGGGGCAAGATGCAGTGAGGAGCAGCATCTGGGTGAAGGATGGCATGTACATGGTTCAGAAAACTTGGTTTCACCTCGAGCAGCTCTAAGGGTCCATGCAGAGAGCCTCTGTGTTTCTGCATTTGGCAGAGCCCTATGGGACAATAGCAATTTGCCAGCAGCTGCAATGCAGGCCTTTCTTTAACTAGTGACTTATCCTCTGGACAAAAATTCTGTGTTAGCTGGGCCTGCAGTGTTATTGTAGAATCACCAAGGTTGCAGAAGACCTTCAATATTATCCAGTCCAACCATCCACCTACTCCAATATTTCCCCACTAAGTTGTGTCCTGTAGTCCAACATATAAACATTTCTTGAACACCTCTAGGGATAGTGGCTCAACCACCTCCCTTGGCAGCCCATTCCAACACCTGACCACTTTTTTGGAGTAGAAATTTTTCCTGACATCCAACCTGAATCTCCCCTGATGCAGCTTGAAGACATTCCCCTATTGCTAGTTACACAGTAGAGGAGGCTATCCCCACCTCACCACAACCTCCTTTCAGGTATTTGTAGAGAGCAATAAGAGCTCCCCTGAGCCTTATCTTCTCCAGACTAAATTCAAATTTGCTCTGCTGCTCCTCATGAGACTTCTTCAGAGCCCTCACTAGCTTCATTGCCCTTCCTTGCACATACTCTAGGGCCTTGATGTCTTTCTTGTAGTAAGAGACCCAAACTGAACACATTACTTGATGTACAGCCTCACCAGTGCTGAGTACAGAGGGTCAATCACTTCCCTGCTCCTTCTTGCATCACTACTTCTGATACAAGCCAGGAAGAAGGCCCCTGTGGGGGGGACAGTGTTTCTGGGTGTCTGATGCTTGTTTGTATTTATATTTACCACATTATTAAATAGTTTGGGCCATTTGAAATTACAGAGTTCCTGAAAGGAGTAAGAATTACTTGAAACCATTTTTAAAGCAAATGAAGCATTCTCCAGCAGGCCATTACAGTGTAAGCTTGACTTCGGTAAGTTTTATGTCCTTTCCCCTTGACTAAGCAAAAATAAATTCTTAAATATGTGCTTTATTGTCAGTAATCTTTGTTGCAGTCTTCACAATAACTCCCAACTAGAAATAATGTTCTTCAGTTTTTTCTTCCTACAGTTATCCCTTATCCTTTGTTACTGCTATCCTATATGAAACATTTTATATGTTGTTTTAAAGGGCAAAATTTTTACATGAAGGGAGCAGTCAGCAAGGATACTTGTGAGACATGGAATATATCCACTGTATTGCCTGTCCAGGAAATGACCATTTCTATTTCACTGTTGAAGCAGGATTTTGATTTAGTATCGTCAGGGTCTCCTTTAGTCACATCATAAATGCATATAAAGTTGATAAACAAGTGAAATACAAAGTTCTCCACTGCATGCAGTATCTAGATACTAATTTTTCCAAGTCAGAGGAATATTTGACTTTTTACAGAGAACTAATCTGAGCCGTTCTCCTGTTGTATTTTGTCTCTTTGAAAGCAATTTCATTTAGATGTTTGGTGTTGCTTTTTTACTTGTAGTGATTTTTTTGTTTGTTTTGTTTTGCTATGGTTGTTCAGTTGTTTTTAATGTGTGAACTATTTAAGCAGAATGGATTCCTTTAACAATACGATTTAGTCTTGAAAATAGCTTTTTTTTCTCTGTCTACATGAGGTCTCTAATGAAAAGAACATCCTTCAGGGAAATAGGAAAAAAAGGGAATTCTCTAAGACAGATGTGCATTTGCCAGAACTAAATCATCTCCCTGAACTGAAAGGAGTGGAAGGTATGAGCTTTAATGTCCTCTAAATTACACCTGGATGATAAGTGGCAGGAAACAGTGTGCACTGCAGTCGTCGCATCTTGCTTCTTTAACCTTGTGTGCATTGGTTGCATTTTGCAGGATGGCATCCCAGATATCTCAAAAAGGAAAATAAAACAGTTTCAGAGTCCCGGGTCCCCTCCCTTGCTGCTATTGACCTTCACAACACAAGTCTGGCCTCACAACAGGTAACAAAGCAATAAAATAGTTTGTGCTGTTCTGCATCTCTTTGGTTCAGGATTCTGAACAGCATGACCAGAAGATTTTTGCTTGGCTCTTAACAGAAGCAAAACTTGCCTTGGTTTCTCAGCTTTCTGAGTAGACAGGTGATTCTTGTGAAGGCTCCCTGCCCCCCTGACATCATACAGATTAGGAAACTAATGGTATCTCCTGATGTTTGGGATGGAGATCTCTGGGGTCATCTTGATGACAGTGAGTGAGAAAATGATCCTTTGTTTCTCACTTGGATAAAAAACTTTGCTGATATACAACCTAAATCTTCCCTCCCTCCACTTAAAACCTGTTTCCCCTTGTCCTGCCATTATCCACCCTTGTAAAGAGTTGATTCCCCTGCTGTTCGTAGGCTTCCTTTAGGTACTGAAAGGCTGCAATGAGGTCACCCCGCAGCTTTCTTTTCTCCAGGCTGAACAAGCCCAGCTTCCTCAACCTGTCTTTGTACGGGAGGTGCTCCAGCCCCCGATCATCTTTGTGGCTCTCCTCTGGATCCTCTCCAACTGCTCCCTGTTTTCTTGTATTGGGGGCCCAGGATCTGGATGCAGTACTCCAGCTGGGGCCTCACAAGGGCAGAGTAGAGAGGGACAATCACCTGTCCTTGCTGGCCACCTCTCTTCTGATGGAGGCCAGGATACCGTTTGCTTTCCTAGCTGCCAGAGCACACTGCTGGCTCATGTCAACTTTTTCATCTACCAGGACTCTCAGGTTCATTTCTGCAGGGCAGCTCTCAATGACTGCTCCTCCCAGTCTGATGGAAGCCTGTGATTCTTCTGGTCCAAGTGCAAAACCTTGCACTTTGCTGTGTTGAACCTCATTCGATTCACCCAGGCCCACCCTTCAAGTCTGCTGAGGTCCCTCTGAATGGCAAGGCTTTCTTGAATTTCATATGAAACAGCACATCTTAGGTGTATTTTATTGTGAGAGGGCCAACATGTATAGGATAACTGTCTTATCAACTACTGAAGCTGATCGATTTTCATTGCATGTATGGATCTTGAATGTCGTTTCACCTTAATCTAATGGGAGGATTTGCAACTTTGGTCACTCCTTCCCTCATGGGTGGAATGTGCCAGTTGCTTATGTCCAAGATTTTCATTTCTTTAATATACAGTATCCTTCCAAAGTCTAAAATCTCCATGAAGATTCCAATGAAGAGCAACTAAGGCTTCTTACCTGTGACTCTTCATAATTAGCAGACAATATACATTCACACTGTGAATGTACTGGCCAGTATTGAAGCAATGCTTCTAGACACTGGTAGTTGCTGTAGCACTTATTGCTTAGTGAGAGGCATGTCATCATCACGTGGATGATATGCTTCTCCCAAGATTTTTTCAAACACTCAAAAACTAGTGGTAGGGAGGGAAAGGAAGGCAATAGAAAAGGCTTTTCAAAGGCAGTGTGGCAAGAAATACATAAACAAATGCAAGCCAAGCAAGACATGTTCAAAAAGGCCATTGTTCAATTCCACTAAGTAATCTGGTATCACAAGGGAAAGTGTAGAATGCATCTAACCAGCAAACCTCAAGTCCAGATTGTTTCAGCAAGCACCTCATCTTCCAACAGCCGGTTTGTGAGCAATGTGCCATTGCACGTGCAATTGTAGAAACAGTTGATTCCTCTGAGGTAAGCAGAAATTTTCCTTCAGGTTGCCTCCATCTTGCAGGCTCTTTGTTAACAGACAAACAAGCTTTTCAGGAGGTGCCACAAACCCACTTCTGTCTGGTGGTCAACCTGTGTTTGTCCTCTAAAATGCAAATGCAATCAAGACAGTCTTGACAGACTCCTGAACTTTGTTTGCCCATAACAACACTTTTCAACAAGCACTGGCTAAGCAGGGTAAGCATTATGTATCAGCTGAATTAGAAGTCTTACAACAAAATTGTGCTCTTCATATTTAAGAGAAATGACAAGAAAACTTTAGTCCAAAATCGGTCAAAATGAGTTACACATATGAAATGTTTATTATCTACAATGAAATAGAAAACAGAATTAAACTATAATTTTAGAAGTTTCTCATCTATCAAGGATTCCCACATACTGGCATTTGTAGAATTCCAACACACTCATAAAAAAAAGCTGGATGACCAGTTTTGTGCAAATTGAATTGAGAACTGAAGTTCCAAGTAGAAAAGCAAGGAACAATTGCAAAACTGTAATGGGGGGAGGGGGAAGCAGAACTGAAGAAAGGTGAGGGTCCTTAAACACTAGCTGTGAGAATAGCTGTAGCAACACTGTTTTCCCAGAGACATAGCAAACTGAATTATTAACAATGAAAGGCAATAGAGGCATTTCCCAGTTGTAGCACCTACAATAAGAACTATTTGACACTCATGATATTTATTACTGTCTTACTACAATTCATGTAAGATCTTGAAAATGTTCCCAAGTTACTGCTCTACAAAACGAAAAGAAATATCAAACGTATATGAACAATTTGTTTCAGAATTTCAAGAGAATGGACTCTATTCCCTGTAAACAATTTTGTCACAGTTGGACGTAACAAGTTTTTTTAAAGACTAAAACTGATAACACACCACAGCACCGTATCAGCCTTTTCATCTGCTGCATTAAAGGGCTTGAATTACATCAGTTTGCATTCCTCTGATCTCCACCATGCAAATAGAGCCAGTACGTATCTTCAGCCAGCCTTCTTTGTTACCTGAGTGAAACATAAAATATATAGATGAAATTTTATAAACCTTGCTATGAATTTGATGTTAGTGGTACAATTCCAAGTTTCTCCAGCTATCTTCTTACCCCCAATATGGTGTGAATATTATTAGTAGTTCATCTTAAATTTTTTCTAGTTCCCTCAGAGAAGTAGCCTTTTTCTTCCATGTAGTTAACGTGCTGAGCTGCAATTTAGAACAAGCAGATATCATCATATTTTTTTTCCCTAAGATAAAAATAACAGTACAGCTTCAATACAGAAAATGTCACGAAGGAGAGGGAAAAGCTGAGATAAATGGAAATTTGGGGTAAATATCAGAATTTACAATGCATTCTGTAGGTAATTAATTCTTGCATCTTGTTTCAGATGTCAGAGATTCACAGATGATAAAAGAGTAGGTAGCAGGAGTACTTGGAAGATATTTACAGAGAATACACGCATTTTAAAACTGCAAACGTTATTCTGTAATTTTTTTTTCCATTGAATTACTATTATTAATTAGCTAAGATCTATAGTCTTTCAGCTAAGGACTGGTAATTTTAGTAGTTTACTACTTTCATAATGACTTTCTTATCAATATACTGCCCAAGCTACTGTGTACAATAATGCAACACTGAGTAAGTCGTCTTTGTCAATCTGAGAACCCTACATTAGCCTCGGTTTCCTTCTCCCCGCCACCTTTCATGAGTCCTCCCCTGCCTCGCCTCTGGCTGTTTGCTCTTCAGAAATGCTGAGTCAGCATTTAGTGGGACCTCACCGTGACATACATCAAGATAGTGAACTGAAGGAGCACTGACTGGAATCAGGCACACAGTGATGGACACTCTCCAGGAGATAGGGAGAGGAACGACCACATTTGCTCTTTGTCATCACTGCCGTAGGTTACGCCAAGCTAATATAGCTCGTAAACGAGAGCTGCAATTACTTTTTCAAAAAAATATTCTGAATATAGAAATTGTGATCCATCTTCATTGCCACACTTTGACCCACGAGTGCGATTCGCATCCAATTTGTCTTTATAAACAAATCTGTGCTGTCAGGTCATCGTGCTTTCAGAAAGTAGCATTTAATCAAATACGCATCAGTTTGGTGAAGACACATTCAAAATATGAGACTGCTGTTCAAATTACATTAGTCATGCTGCACACATATGTGATCACCTCTGCCTCAGGAATAACACAAAATGAGTACTTTTCTAATATTCAGTGGGATTTTTGCATGCACTTTGATAGCACTTTTTCTTAAGGTTTTGTACCTCTTGTGATGCTGTAGCTGCCCTCTGCTCTGCCTGGCTTAGTCGCATTTGAAGCCTATTGACATGTTTTTGATATTCCGTCATTAGTTTTTCATCCTGTGTAAATGAAGCATCTTGTTACAAATATGAAGTTCTCTTTTCTGGATCCATCCATAGTGTACTGAAAAGCTTAAGGCAAGAGGACCTTTAGAAGCAGAGCTGTTTACCACCTACAGTAAGCCCGAAAGCACTGTGCTGACACATTATAAAGAACTTCCAGCTCAAATATGAATCATATGACTTCCCCAGTCACAGCCATCTTCAGCGGAAGTTTCACCTTCCTGAAGATGCGTAAAAGATGATATTTTAATGCAGGTAACTTAATTTACACAGCATTACAATACAAAGATTTTAGCTACATTCAAAGGGGAGAAAAGTATACCAGATAGAAATGATACAGTTTTGTTACAGAGAGCTTCTCTTCACCACATGCTATGTATGAAGTCTTCACTGTTCTTTAGCATTAGTTTCAGAAACCTGTTCTCACATCATCCCAGTTTTTCTCCTGCAAATAACAGAGCACTACAAAAAACAATGCAAGGATTTATTCTATACAGGATTGGTTATCATCCCAGATTGTCCTATCATTCTTACCTCAATTACTTTATTTTTTGCCATTTCCAGCTGAGCAATAAGTTCCTGATTACGAAGTTTTTGTTGACTCAGATCACTTCTATTAATCAGAAGAAAATGGAAAAGAAAACATTTAATCTAAAAAAAACCCCAACTTTTTAACCTTAGCAGTTTTCAAACAAACACCTGAAAACTGCTATATGGAATTTGAAATGCCTGTTAATACAAGGCTACAGTATATCTCATGGGTAGGTTCCATTCCCTTGTTCTCTTTAACCAATCGATTAGATAGCATAAAACAAAACAAAACAAAACAAAAAAAGCCCCAAACAGTTCAACATCTTTTGAGTAGCTGCTATAAAAATGAAGATACAAAGGCAGTGTTAGGAATATGAGACAGTTATCTGGCAACCAGCATGAATTAAGATAAAAGTTTATATCCTATTTGTGCTCAAGGCAATCACATAACTCATTTGCATCCTCATAAATTTTTGAGCAAACGCTCTAAAAGAACATAAGATGTGCCTCTACAAACATTTTTTCCAACTTACAAAGCTAGAGACTTATTTCATGCTTACTTTGATAAAGACTGCTCTGAATAATTATAAAGACAGGAGTCTTCATAATACAAAGCTATGTTTTTCTAAACTGAGAATGTTTTTCTGAAAGAAAAAAATGGAAAGAAGATATTCAAATTTACTTTTTCTTATAACAAAATTCACACATGTTAACAAGATGCAAAACTTTAATGTCAGTTATTAGCTGCTAGCTTCATTAGGAATCATGTCAGAGGGCTCTAGAGAGAACACTGTTTCTTCTGTTTGCTAGAAGCACATCATCTATTCCATGGCCTGCTCTCCTTTCCTTTCTACCATGGGTATAGCCTGGTTTCAAACAGTAACTGATACAGTAACAGCAGCCAGAAGAGCAACAACAAAATTGCACTTACTTTAACTTATTGATCCTAGCTTCTGTAGTTTCAGTAAGCACTTTTGTTTCCTCTTTCCATCTATTTGTTGCTCTTTGCTGAGCTGTCAACAGATGTCTAAGTTCAGCAGTAGACTTTCGACTGACGTCCTCCATTTCTTTAAGACGAACTTCATATCCATGCTCTTTCACAGCATGCTCATGTTCCATAGTGCTTATCTACATAAAAAATACAAATAGGATACAATCAAGTCTCAATCATAATCTTTATCACTTGTGGTTTTTTTTCCTACAGAAACACAATTTTCTTTTTCACTTAGTCAAAATTTGTTAGGACTTTCTTAATTGCATCTTAAATCCTTTGTGCAGAGGAAAATGGAGGCAAGTCACAAATCTTATCTGTGATGGTATCCTGTCTGAACAAAGACATGCAAAATTCTGGTAGGTGCTTTTTCACTGCCACCTATTTGTTAAGCTTGAATGAAGGAGTCTACAGTTGGAACGAGATTTCTTGTTTAACATGACTTCTTTCGTTGTGATGTACAAAGAGCTAACTGGATGAGGTGCTCCTCATTCTTAATTAGTAAAACTGTTTCTGAAATCTTCGTTGCTGTAGATATTTAGAAAGCACATCAAGGATCACAGCTGTTATTCCTCCCAGAAGGCAAAGGTGTGCGAATCTGATAAAGTTAGCTATTATTACATTACCCCATAATGCAGTCTGTTCAGGTGCATTTAATGGAACCCTTCAAAAAGAAGATCCATCTTCCAGCTAAATGTCCTTGTTTGCAACTATCTGCACTGAAAAACATTCTTTCCCAGAACACACGGCAGCAGCGTTTGACAACCACACTGCAATATTATTTGTTAGCTACACAGCTCTGATAACGTGGCGGACATGTAAGTAGATGTCCACATAGAGGAATACTGTACTGAAAGTTGTACAGAGATTCCTAATACAGATAGTAGATTAATGGAGATCTAGAATTAGACTAAGTGAAATCAGTTTGAGAAAATTTTTTACTATTTGGACTATTCATCCTATGAAATAAGAGACAACATTTGGGATCTTCTTATCAAGCACAGTTAGCAGAGACTGAGCTACTAAATAAATCTTGACGACACACAGTGCTGAAGTAAAAATTATTTATCAAGGAAAAAGAGCAAGCATCACTGAAACTCTCACCCAATATTTAAACTTCCACATATTTTTTCCTAGAAATGCTGTCTTATTAAGCTAACATTAGCCTTAAAAACAGCATATAAACCTGTAGCAGGAATGTTAAAACACAGATTGAACTAGCGATTGAGCATCTGGTGGGAAGGCAGGGCCAACCCAGGTAGCTCAGGTGCATGCAATGTACCTAAGTGACTGGAAGGGGCGGAGCCAGAATCCACCCCTTCCCAGACCACATCTAAGGGCTGGCAGTGGAGGCAAGGGTGTTTTGCTGGATATCCCTGTCCACCTGAGGTCTTCCAAGGGAAAGTAAATTTTTTCTTTTCTTTCTCTGTCTATAGCTGCCGCATTCCTGTAGCAGCAGGACTTTGCTACCCTGCTATCATTGCTGTACTTTCCATTGCATTAGAGTGTTACAAAACCATACCTTTATTTTGGCTTGTTGCTGTACTTCTGAGGCCAGTTTTTTCAAGCTTTCAATTTCTTTTTGCAATTGTTCATTCTCTTGCTGAAGCTTTAACCTCTGTTCACCGATGGAGCCGCTCTTTTCTCTTTCTGAATCCAGAATGCTTTGCAAGTTACAGATATTTTTCTGGTAATTAGATTTCTCTTCCTCAAAGCTGAAAGAGAACTCTTCTTTAAAGTCATGAATTAAGTCAATTTTACACTTTGCTACTGTCATTTTGCTGAAGCTCTGATGGTTTGGAGATAGGGGAGACTATATCTGTAGGCAGCAACAAAATCTTAATAGATCAGTTAGTCTAGTATGACATAGCCTTCTGATTGCTTCTTTAGTGGCAATAGAGGCCAACTGAAAACAGAAAAAGCAAGTTTTTCATATGGTTGTATTTCAGGTATGGAACTCACTGCCACACATAGCTGTAGAAGAGAAGATTTTACTGAGACTTAAGTAATCCATGTAACAGTAAGAGCAATAATTTAAAAAACAAACATCCACATGTGGCATTGTACGTTTTTAAGCAATGCAAACATGCCAATGACACATCGCTGTCAGCTTGCTCTAGCGCTCAGTTTTTCCATTGATTACTTTTTTGGACAGTACTGGAGAAGATATATACGTAGGTTACTCCCATTCATTTTATATATGTAGGTTACTCCCATTCATTTCCATGGATACAACAACAGATACAAAGAGAACAATAACACGGTTGGATAGCGTTCTATAGCTAAGAATAAGCTCTATTTTTCAGCATAGGCATCACCCTTAGCTGTGCATTCCTGCCAGCTACGAACAAGAGTCTGCATGCCATGCCTGCAGAGGTCTGCATCTGTGGAGGTAACCCACTGTTGCTATTGCTGAAATGCATCGCCCACTGCCTCACTGTGCTCACATCCGCTGTTTGGGCTCCATAAATGTTCAGCAAGTGTTAATGAATGTCAGTGGGAGCTGTTTTTTCCACATGGAGGAATTCAGCGACACACTTCTGTTTCATCAACTCTTCTACTTCAGAGGCCATGTTGTCAGACTGCCCCTCTGCTGCCATCTACAGCATGGCAACAACATGTAAGAATACTGGTGGAAACGTCCAACCTCTACTGCCATACCACCAACAGACACTTATGACATCATAGGTCAACGCAATGAAATATGAGGCATTACTTTTGGAGCAGCCCTGATCTATTTGGGACAGATCTTTGGTGTGACTCAATACACACAGATGTTCCCCTGCTGCTTCCTGGAAGTTTGTAGGACTATGCGCAAGTCAGTGAGGTATTTCATCAAGCCCAGGGAATTCATGAAAGCAACCCAACATTCTATCCATCTCAGGAAAATAGCACTGTGAAAGAGCAGCTTTTCATTTTAATAACAATTCCAGATTTGTAAGTAATTGTTTTGTACAATAGATAGGGCTTACAATCTGAATACATAAATGGCATAAAAAAAAACTCTAGGCTTTTCATTCTGAGAATAACCTGATCTAAAGATGTGTATCACTCTGTAGTTCTTACCATTATATTACTGAAACTGCAATAACATCTATTACCTCTTTTATGGGAACTGCTGAGTAACGGCCTGAACCTCCGATTAATCACCTGAGGCGAGCAATGAGTCAGCCAGGGGAGCACAGGTGAAAACAATTCACCTGTGCTGCAGGAAGGGGTGGAGCCTGGTTCCACCCCTCCTAGACCCATTTAAGAGCTGACTACCAGTAGGAAAGCATCTCTCTTCTGAAGATCCACTCTACTGGAGTTTCCTGAGTGAGCCCATGATACGGGTAAGCATCCTATCTATTCTCTTTGTCTTGCTTTGCCTAACTCTCTTGTTTATTTCATTATTATAGCATCATTGTACAATATTCCTTTATACAATTTTCCTTGATTATACACTATCTTAATATTCTTTGATTATACATCTCTGAACACAGACCTGAAATTCAGTATGCAATGTAAACGTGGAGCGTTATGTGTATACTAAGAGATACCGCGCTGTTGATGACTTTACAGAGTAATAAGTTCTGCCTGCGTATTTCAGAGAGTAACCTTTCATACAGTTTTTAGACATATGGTAAGATTTCAAACAACGTAATTTATAAAACAATGAAAACTTGAATAACTGCTTGCAGTTCTCATTTTGTAGATAAAAACTTTCATTCTGTGTTCTGCTGTCCCCCTTTAATACTTCTATAGTGACTTTTAGTCCGCTACTTACCTCATTTCCAGCAGTTTCAGTTTATGTTGTGTTGTCTGCAGACTCAGCTGAAGGTCACATTTTGTAGTCTCTGCAAGTAGATATTTCTGATGCAGTTGCTCTAGTTTTCTACTGTCAGATTCATGTCCTCCATATTCTCTGCAAATCTGAAGAATAGTTTCATGCCATATCATCTTTACCTTTCATTGGCTACGCAATCAGAGGCCTGAACCTCTGATTAATTACCTGAGGCGAGCAAAGAGTCAGCCTGGGAAAACCCTTCACCTGTGCTGCAGGAAGGGTTGGAGCCAGGCTCCACCTGTCCTAGACCCATTTAAGAGCTGACTACCAGTGGGGAAGGATCTCTCTTCTGAAGATCCTCTCCACTGGAGTTTCCTGAGCAAGCCCACGATATGGGTAAGCATCCTATCTATTCTCTTTGTCTTGCTTTGCCTAACCCTCTTGTTTATTTCATTATTATAATATCTTAATATTAATTTGATTATATAATATTCCTTTATACAATTTTCCTTGATTATACGCTATCTTAGTATTCTTTGATTATAACACAGTGACACAGTAGTAATGATTAAAAAGTCTACTCCTCATTGTGTCCCAGTTCCAGGGTTTTAAAACAAAACTGACTATAATTGAATTTCAGTGTTGTCTCTAAAAAAGTATTCTAAGATCTTGCATTCCTTTACTTTTCAGCATGCTGTACTTAAGTTTGATTTGCAACGTGTACCAGTGTGCTTTTAGATCGTGTCAAGCATCTCCTTTTACTTTTTACGCTTCTCAAAAATGCTCTTTTTCAGTTTAGTATTAAAACTTTAATTTCCAGAATTAAAACTTAAAATACTGACACGCGTGTTAAATGTTCTGAAAGTCAACTCAACAAATAAGGAAATTAAAGGTCATAGCATCATCCTTCATTCTCGTGTTAGGGAAAAACATGGGAGGTGAGAAAAAAATAAAATGAAGACATTTTCATACTGAGGATCGATCTTAAACAGGATGTAAAAAGCACACAATTGCCTTACCCTTTCAAGTTCTTCTTCCACTGCCCGCTTTTCTCTAACGGCTCGTTCTATTTGACCCTGCTTTTCGCCACATTCCTATTTCAAAAAGTCATTTAAATAAACCTCTCATTCATATTTTATATATATATAAACAACTCATGATAAAAATTCCACACACTATGTTACCATCTACTTTTGCTGCTTATTGTCCCTTACGCAAACTAAGCTGTACAAAAGAGATGTGAAGACACTCTGTACTGGTAGTGAGGAAATTGTTACACAGCAGTACCAAGCCATCTGCAAACAGGCACCTGTGAAGACCTGGTAGAGATCCAGAGCTATAGTAGGATCTACTGGAGCGATATGAGGTCCCACAGTAGATCCTACAGTCCCTACACAGGTACGTTAAAAGTCTAGCTCATTCTCCTTTCCCTGACAGCACAAGAGACCCAGGGTAGGCTCTAGCTCACTACTTACATATTTGCAGAGAACTAAAAACAGTATGAGTTCTATTCCATATGCCTGCTTATTCGCCCTCATTTCTTTGCCTTAGCCTTAGGGCAAATCCAGACAGGTAGAAGAAAAGAAATCGGAACTGTGTGTTGTAGGAAAGTTGCTATTCACATACTTATATCTTTTAAGTGTGACTGAAACACCAGGGCTACACAGCATCGATGCCTGTTAGTACATCATGTATGCACCCAAATCGTTAAATTGCTGGGGCTGAAATGAAAGTTTCTTGGGCAGTTAAAAATATTTCTACTGGCCTTAATACAAATCTAGACACAATTCCTTCCAGAAAACACTGTAAACTAAGCAGTTCTAGCGAAATCTCTCAAATGGGCCAAGATAAAAGTATCCCAAGCCTACCATTATTGACCCATGTATGCACATAAAGACGTTTTAAAATTATAAAAGAAAAACATTGTGGTTGATTATTTGCAACTAATCACTAGTAACTTCTATTTAATAATTAAGAGAAACACAAGTCTAAAGAAAGTATATCGAAAGGGTTGATCTCTTTGTCTAAAACTAAGAACCCCCTCTTCACCAACTGCTAATAATATTATGTAGGATTTTACTTTTATATTTAATTAAACATTTAACTTGATAAACAAAAGTCTCAAATGGTTTGCTAGCACAAACAATCTCAAAAGTCAACCATACCATATGGAGAGCTAAAAGTTCTTCTGTTAATTGAGAGATCTGCACATTGTATTGTTTCTTTGCAGAGTCTACCTGTGATCAAAAGCAAAGCAAAACTGAAAAATTAATATTGCAAACTATTTCTCCATCCCATTTTTACATGCAGAATCACAGAATCGTTTAGATTGGAAAAGACCTTTAAGATCATCAGTTACAACCATCCACCTAACACTGCAAGTCCACCACCAAGCAGTGTCCTTAAGCACTGCTCCACACATCTCTTAAATACCTCCAGGGATGGCGACTCTGCCTCCTCCAATGCCTAACTACTATTTCCATGAAGAGCTTCCTCCTCATATACAAGCTAAACCTCACCAACACAATTTGAGGCTGTTACCTCAAATATGCTTTGTACATGTGTGGTGCTTGTATACAGAAATAGGAGACTATAAGAGCTGACAAATGGTACTACGTGAATGTTATCAATCCATATTACTTTAATTGAGATTATTTAGAAAAAAAGCAGAAAGACATTGCAACAAGGTCTTACAAAAAAAGAACAGTAAGACTACCAGAAAGCCACTGTCCACTAGGAGCAAGATATCTGACACTTGTGTAACTGACCATGTAAAAAAGGAAATACTTGTTGCTCCTAGAGAAATATGAAAATGCTTAAAGTTTTACTCTTTATGCTTTTGATATATTCTCTCTGACTGGGATTACATGAAATAAGAAATAGGAGACAAGTCTGAATTTCTAAATTCTGATCAGTGCAGCATTGTAACAAATAGTGGTTATTTGCTTTTTGGCTCATGTGCCTCCTTCAAACCATGTGTGACATTAAATACTGCAGTTTTAAGTAATCCACACAATTCTGTGGATTTTTTTTTTTTTTTTGGATAATCACTAAGTAGAAGGAACAAATCATCATTTTAAAGGCTTCAAAAATGTATATATTAATTAAAATCTTTATTTATTGTGAGTCCTTTCATAACAGGCTTGTATCATAATGAAGAAAGTGAAAGGAGGCAAAATCAATTACACCTCTGAAAAATTACAAGCCAGGTAATTGATTTACGGTGTTTTCTACTTGCAACCAAAGACATTGGCATCACATTTGTATAAGACAGCTTCCTCTGGAGTTTACTTTAAAATAAAGCAAGTCTATTTGACATGTGCATAATTGTTAAGAATCTCCAGGGAGATATGATTAGCCTTATTTTAATTGCAGATGGGACATTAACCAAGAGCAAATTCATTTGTGAATAGTTTGTTATCAAAGAGCTCCTAATTTTCAGCCACTTGTGAGAAGAAGGAACATTACAAAAACAGATAACTATAAAATTTTGTAGTTTCTCTACCAATTTTTTTTTAAGTGTGCTGTGATACCGAGTTTTTTTTATCATTAGCTGTATTTCATGGAAGAGTCTTATTTGTCTAAAGAGAGGTATATTTTGAAGCACTGAGATGCCAAAACTCTGATCTTATAACTCAACAATTCTTATCACCTGAGTTTATGCAAAAAGTATCAGTAAGTTCCAAGATGAGACCACATGCTCCTGAACAGAATTTCTGAAACAAGTGCCACATCTTCATCATCTCTACAGCAGTATCTGCACAGACAGCAGTGCTTCTGGTTCATGAGAGCTGTATGAATATCATTTGGGTTGGAAGAGTACCTACCTAGATGATAAGGCCAAAGAGCACAATACTGTCAGTATACTGTCCTTGCTACTTAAATAATCAAAGCACAAGAAAACCGCTGATGTGACCACGCATAACATATAATGATTTCATTTTTAACTCTAAGTTCATAGTTGGTTCTTTCTAAACATCATCACTTACCGCCTTTCTAATTCTTGCAGCAGTATCTTCTGTGAGCTGAAGTATTTCATCTTTCATCTTTTTGATCTCCTCTTCCTTTTGCTTCTTCTTAAACAGTGCCTAAAAAAAAAAAAAAAAGAACAGAAATATTACTGATAATACTTCAGTTGTGACATCGTATCTAGCAGCGAGAAAAGAAACCACACGTAATAGGAGTTAAGAAGAACTTTCTGCCTTGTGCTTTAGAGCAGCTGGCACCAAGACCCAACAAGAAAGCAAGAACAGAAATGACACAGAAAGATCTCTTAAGAATCACAGTATGCGTATAGGAGCACACACGCTTTCCTACATAGAGCTGAGCTTTTGTTTTGCTTTTATGGTCAATAGACTAGATCAGTTACCTCTCAGAAAACCAAAGGTACAAATTCATAAGCAGCTAAGGAATGCATATGTAAACTCTTTCATGGTGGATAATAGTGAACCATGTGAACAGCTCTTTAGCATGAAAAGTTGGTGGGAATTACAGAACAAAAGTGCAGTAAGGAACCCTTCCAGGAAAGGATGAAGTAAAGGCACCGCTGTTAAATAGGAGATGCTGTCTGGAAAGATTGAAAAAAGCAATACAGAACTCTCAGTGGAAGAGATGGAAATCCTAGATGGCACAGATAACAGATAATATGTAGATGGATAAAAGGAGAAATACATGGAAAAGGTCACTAGTAGATATGATTTCAGTCTGTAGAAGGTTCTCCAGTCGTGACGTGACACTTTACGTGTCAGGTTCTCTTCAACTGCTCCCATTCAGTTTGTGCTGTGTTTCTCAAAGTACTCTTAGAATTCTTCTGATCTCATTTTGTAAGCTTAGCTTAGGTGCTTTACAATAGTAACGTGAAAAAGAGGAGCGTTATTGTGACAACCTGTTAGTCCCTCATATAATCTCTTAAGAGACCAGAGAGGCCACAGTTTAGTTAACTAATTGCATATATTAGGCTGTGTTTTTTATTAATTCATAAAATGCGCACTTTGCAAAATGAAGGATGTTTTAGCCAGAGCAATGAATGAGCAAGCGTTTGCAAATTCAAAATTTTCCTCCTAGAGCATAACACGAAAGTGTTACAGAATGACAGAATCACTAAGGTTGGAAAAGACCTATAAGATCATCCAGTCCAACCATCCACGATTTGTTTATAACAAGACTGTTATTTATCTTCTTTATCTTAAATGTTCACTAACCACCTCAGAGATGTTATTTACACCATAATTTTTATCTGGCCGCTTCTTTCTGTCAAAAATGGTATGAAGAGCACTGTTCTGTGTTCTAACACATAGCTAATTGAAAATGAGTTTCTTACAGTTAACCAATACCTTTCAAGTGTAAGTTTTTCTCATTAAGTTTTTCTTGTTTTTCAACTCTGGGAAAAAAATAGATATCTTTTTACCTTGTGTTCCGCATACGCAGGCTTTGGGGAAATGCTTGTAAAGGTAAAA